TGTACACAACGATGGAAAACCTAAAACTTAACAAGCAGCAGTGGTCCACTGAAGAGACCAGCTGCCTACTGGGAATCTGGTCTTCCGAAGAGGTACAGAGGAAGCTGGAGGGGAGCACGCGGTCCAAAGAACATTTGAATGTAGCATGTAACGACTGTAAAGTCGGTAGTAAAGTCGTCCCATTTCTTCCATTTCGTTTCCACAGAGCAAAATCAAAACGAGTAGCGCTTCAATACAATCGGTCATTGTTGTTGTTGTCGATGTGAGGGGCTTCTGCGTGGTTTGGCTTTATGAAGCAGGCACGCAAACGGTTACGTCATGATGCAAACGATGACGCAATGACGCAGCACCAGTCGGGCTCTGAGCGGTGTGAACAGAGCGGGAGCTGAACCGAAGAACCAGAAAAGCTCTAGCATGGAGCTAGAACGGGAAAAGCCTTGGTGTGAAAGGGGCATAAGAATGATTTTGAGCCTTTTTTGTGCTTCAGATGCTTCTGATGATTTCCATTGAAAAAGATCATTGTACGTTCAAAAGTCAATGTCCATAGTAATCACAACATACAACTGTAAACATGTAAGGTTCACTCTTTATTTACACTATTCTGTGCATTTGAAATACAACATCACATGTCTCTCCCGAGAGGACAACCTGCTCAAAGGAAACACTCATAAACAACGTTCAGCTCCTTCTTAAGGCCCTTTGCACTTTGATGTAATCAGATCTCTGTGGTGTGGACTGCTCTGTTTCCACAGAGGCTGAGCTGGAGGACTCGCTCAGTAAATTCAATTTAATGCAATGATTTAGGACATTTCTCAGAGCCCCACCTCGACTTATTACAGATTGATTTGAAAGGAGGCAGAAATCAAAGAGCCAAAAACAGAAAGAGGAAAATAATGTATTTTCTGACAACCAAACTGAAAACACAATAACAGACATGATTATATAATGTGTGTAGATAGAACCTTCCAAAAAATACATTTTCAATGTATCACCAGACACAAAAGAATATGTTGTATGCCCATTTAAACCAATTTGTTTCCAGCAGAGATATTTTCCAAATGATCCTGTCAAATGAAACTGTAAGAAGATGTTGTTGTTTTGTGATAAAGTGTTCAGCTGCAGCATCTGAATCCTCAACCATCCCAATCTGTTTTCACAGACAGATTTTTCCACAAAAAATGTGTATTTCAATTATGAAACATTATACAAACATAATCAAAGAAGACAAAGAAAAGGGAGACAAAACAAAGAGAAACAACAGAACCTGGCTGTGTTTCAACTTTTTGATGTTGCTGTAAAATTGGAGTTCAACAATCCCAATCAGAAGTCCTTCCTGTTGTGGACTAAATACAATGCTGTTTGCACCATACTGTAGATCAAGTGAGGCTTTACAATAAATCACCCAGAACTAAAGTCTACTTGTGCAACAACTTAAACATTGTAATGCCTATATTATTGCTAATTTTCAGGTTCATATTTGTATGTAGTGTCTCTACTTTAAAGAGTCCTCTCCTGCTGATGTTCAGGTGTATATCAGTATGTAGTGTCTCTACTTTAAAGAGTCCTCTCCTGCTGATGTTCAGGTGTATATCAGTATGTAGTGTCTCTACTTTAAAGAGTCCTCTCCTGCTGATGTTCAGGTGTATATCAGTATGTAGTGTCTCTACTTTAAAGAGTCCTCTCCTGCTGATGTTCAGGTGTATATCAGTATGTAGTGTCTCTACTTTAAAGAGTCCTCTCCTGCTGATGTTCAGGTGTATATCAGTATGTAGTGTCTCTACTTTAAAGAGTCCTCTCCTGCTGATGTTCAGGTGTATATCAGTATGTAGTGTCTCTACTTTAAAGAGTCCTCTCCTGCTGATGCTCAGGTGTATATCAGTATGTAGTGTCTCTACTTTAAAGAGTCCTCTCCTGCTGATGTTCAGGTGTATATCAGTATGTAGTGTCTCTACTTTAAAGAGTCCTCTCCTGCTGATGTTCAGGTGTATATCAGTATTTAGTGTCTCTACTGTGACATGTCTCCATGCTTTAATGTTCAAAAAGCTCTTTATTTTTCTCATACTGCCTGTGCTGCAGCACCTCTTTCCACCCTCTGTCTGAAACCAGAGCCCCGTCTGCTCTGATTGGTTAGCTGGCCGGATCTGTTGTGATTGGTCAACCGTTTAGATATGTCCCGCCCCTTAGTCTATCACGTACAGTTTACAAAAACCTATATAACGCACTACAGGAAACCCACAAAAAGCATAGAGCCTCTTTAAATGTACAATTAAATAACACGTTTTAAGGTTTTCAATGAACATTAATAACATGGTTTGTTAGAAAATGGTTAATACATTAATTTATCTTAAAATAATTTCACACGATGTGCTGTTTCATTTTTTATGTGTTTTTGTTCATCAGTTTTTCACTCTTTAAATCACAAAAATGCAGCTGATTGGTCCATCCAAAAACAGCAGCAGGAGCTCTGAGTTGCCGCATAAAAAATATTAAATGTTCTTGCAAAAATCATGACTGGCCAATGCAACTTTAAAGAAAATATCCTTTGAAAACAATACTTTATAAAAACCATGATTTTTATTGATAATTTATCACCATATTTCTTCAATACATTAGTTATTGGAACATTTAATGATGACATTAAAACCTTTTAACCCTTAGATTTACATTGGCATCATTTAGGTTGAGCAATAATTGGATAACGTTCTGAAACTATCATCATACGGAGGCACAGTCCAGCTTCCACACTCATCATGAATAAAACAACGTGACACAAACATGAAGTAAAAAATAAATATAGATCGTTTCGGTTCAGCAAGATATATATAAATGGTTCCATAAAAAGTAGCAGGGTTATTTAATAAGGGTCAACATTCTTGTACCTTCAGAGTTCTCTCAGTGAATATGTTTGGACTTTTACACCACAGAGTCATTTCCTTGAGCATTTTAAGTATGGAGTGTGACTACACTGTAAATCTTCAGAGAGCCTTTTGAGCTGCACACACATTCCTACCTCTGCCTCTTTATTCGTAACAGAGAGCTGTAGACATCACCTTCATCAAGCGTTTTCTCGGCAACAAAAAATAAATGTCATTGATGCCAAGGGCAACATTCTGTCACTGACAAACAAAGATGTCAGTGAACAACATTTGATCAGCAAAAGTAAACGTTAAAACCACTGAACCTGACGAAGGTGCAGTCGATCATTTCAGGGTGAAATAATGATTTAAATAAGCTCTGCAGGAAAGCCTCCGCAAACTTTGAGGTTGATTTTAACACACTGCACCAGCATCACACTGCAGAAAGGCAGACAGTAACTCCTCTGTAGACATGAAGGGAAGTGCCGTGTAAGCACAGGTTGAGCTCCAGAGCAGCTATTAAGGAGTTTATTAATTCATCATTTATTCAGGCGGCCCAGTGGGAAGCTGTTTATGCTCACCAGCAGTGACAGGAACCTGTTTATTATCTACATGTCAACTAATTAACGTCCTTAGAGGTCCATTAAACTTTATTAACATCCATAAACCACAACTTGACTTGTGGTCTATTGTGAATACACAAGTTACACTTACTAGTTTTCAACAGCAGATACATTTTGGGGAAATGTATGATGTATTATTTTATCAATATATTGACAACATATTTGAATGAACGTATCAACGACAACATCTTCAATGGCATCCTTTTTATTTGCTTTCCCAACAATATGCGCTTTGACTGTAAAAACTAAAGCAGGATAACACTTTCTATGGTTACCATTAGGCACTCACGTTTGGTTAAGTTCAGGGAAAGATGGCGGCATTGGTTAAACAAAAAATAAAAAAGCTGTAGTACTCTGCCGAATCCTCAACCTGCAATGACCTGTTTTGGTCACACGGGGGCAGCAGAAACAAGCTCACACTGACATATTGTTGGCTTATTTGGCTAGTTTTGATAGCACACATTTGTTAGTTTGCACATCCGGCAGATACGAAGCAGTATGAAAATACGTTTGGAGTCGTGTTTGTGTCCCTCTGTTGAATTGAAGTCAAATATTTCAGTTTTGGCTTCCGCTATTGGAACATATCCCGGTCTTTTGCTGCAGAATGCCCAAGTATTTCCACCAGCTAGTTGCTAACTTTGTCTTTGTGCTTTGAGGCAGCTCCATAATCAGCGTTAAGTGAGATTATCTAATAAAGAATAAGAGCTGCCTGATGAAAATAGTGCTCATTAGAGCAGAGAGAGTGAACAAAAATTGTGAGCTGTAAAACCAAAATAATTGGCTGAAGAAATGAAGCTTTCCAAATATCTAAAGGGAACTAAAGAGTTGGTGATTATTCTCTGTGAGATCACCATGGAGCAACACATTTCACATCCATTGATCAGTTGTTCTGATGGAAATATTGATTACAGCAGCTTTTGTAGACTAAACCCTATACGTGGGATCAGGATGCTAACTCTCCAGATTTACAATCCATTACAAAAACACCAATTGAAGAAAACATTGCCACTGATAATAATCCCTCCAAAGCATCTTTGCAAAATGAAATTGATGGAATATAAATGTGATTTCTGGGCGACTGGGTTGACCAGTAAACTGAAATAAACAAACAACCTTCATTCATTATTCACCAAAAGCAAAATATCAGTATCAGCAGTGATTCTTAATAATCAGAAAAATATGAAATGTGGACTCTGATAATGGGACGGATAAGCACATTATGGGTTCCTGTGCACAGACTTTTGAATGAGCGACAACCATACTGAAATAGCAGACCAGAGGAATGAAAGAGTCATAGTCGTTTTGCCTCAAATTGTGGTGGTTTTGAGTCTCTTTGTGGTATTGTTGAGCGTCTATGTGTAATTTTGTCTTGTGTTTGTGTGATTTTAAGGTTGTTTTATGTCTCTTTGAGTGTCTTTGAAGCCTTTTTTGTGGCGCCTCGTGGTTTTGTAGTCTCTGGAGTTGTGCTTTTGACCCAGTAGGCCTTTTAAGTAATCAATGAATTCCTCTGATCACTAAACGCGCATTACAATAAGCATTGAACTCTTTTTTTAAAGCAAATAAATGTTTTCCATCAAAGTGGCACCACCATCATCTCTTGACCAGATACCCCCCAAAAATACTTACAATGTCATTATTTGATGATTCGTTACACAAGTAACACAAGCATATACAGTTTACACCCAAAAGGCAGATGTACTTGAATGCAACAGTTGCCACGTTGAACTGGGAAAAGTATTTTTTAGATTTGGAGTCTTCCTCTCTCAGGTTGCTTGATTGGCAGAAACATCTAATAGCTCACCGAGTCTCTTTCATCTGGACGTGAACTCACATCCAGAGAACTTGAATGATTTCCAAACTCTTATGTCTTCTCTCTGTTTGGATCCTTTCCCATCTACATGTATCACCTTTCAACATTTTGGCAAGATGGAGCAGCAATGTTTTGATTATACAGTGACAACACTTTATGAAGAAGTCAGGATGCTTACAATCTTCTTTCCTTTCATTTTTTCTCACAGCGGGAACACAAGAAAGCCAGAAAATGTTGAGTACTGCCATCCGCCAACTAGGTTTCCCTTCTCCAGCTTTAAGTAGACTTTGTCCTCCTTTTCTAGATAAAGCAGAACACCATTGGTGGCCGCTTCACGAGTTACATCTTTGTCACCCGCAAAGGCAGAGATGACTGGTTTCCCATTCAACATCAAGTTCACCTGGATAACAGAAATAACAGTTAGAAACCTTAAAATACTGAATAGTTTAAACTGTGTTGGCACAGTTTACATCTTATTTGTAACATCTTAACCTCTTGTGCAAAACTCACCTACACAGTCACAGCTACTCATTATAACAAATAGTATGCTTTTGTTTTTGTTTCCTTTCCTGTAGTGTGTTATATCGTTGTTTGTGTATGTACATGGTCTGCATTGGACTCCTTTGTTTACTTCAGTAACATAGTGACATCACTATGGAACACTCGCCCTAATATTGGCTAACGCTCCAACACATTGTGCGTGATAGGCTAAGGGGCGGGACAACTCTAAGCGGTGGACCGATCACAACAGAGGCAGCCAGATAACCAGTCAGAGCAGACTGGGCTCTGGTTTCAGACAGAGGGTGAAAAGAGGTGCTGCAGCACAGGCAGTATGAGAAGAGAATAAAGAGCTTTTTGAACATTAAAACATGGAGACATGTCCCAGTAGAGACACTAAATACAAATATTAACCTGAAAATGAGCAAAATATGTCCTCTTTAACGTATATCAGATTAAAAATGAGGTGTGTAGGGGTCTTTACTTTTTTTTTTAAATTGAACGTAATGTTAAACCCACACCAAAATGTCCAAACAGTACCTAAAAAATACATGTTATCCCTCTCTAATACTAAAACAGGTTAACAATGTAAACAATAACACATCTTTGTGACAAAATAATGTTTTCTTACCTGTATAGTTTGGCTCTGGTACACTTTAATAACATGGAAGTTAAAACTGTAGATTCCTGTTCTAGGGGACAGAAATACTGACTCAAATGTGAAGTAGTTTCCTATATTCACCAGAACCTATGAGAAAGAGAGAGGATGTAAAAAAACATTATCACAAAGGTGTTTATATAGCCAGCACTTCAGCAAAGGATTTTATTCAAGGAGGCTTTAGGATTATATGTGTTCATGAACACAGGTTTCACAAGGCTGCACACACACACCCTGAATGCAACACACTTCAAATTCTATTAAATTTTTCCTCTCAATGGATCAAAACCCCGCTTTCAACTTTCCTACATACTCACACAAAAAAATTCTAAATTATGCTCAATGACATTATTTAATAAAAATGTTCCAGTTTGGTGCAAGGAGAGGATTTTTCTTCTAAATCTTTTCAGTGTTGACACTGATGAGACAGAGCCTGACAATATTTAGAAGCTATTTGATTACTGCTTTTTCATCTAACCGAATGAATAGAGTGTTATAATATAATAAATAAATACATGTTTCTTACTGTTGCTTGCAAACCCACTCTGAGTATGTCACTCAGCATTAAATGCTGTCTGAGTGTCACTAAAAGGTTTTAAGCACCTATTAGATGACATAAAGGATTTAAATTAACTCCTTTGGGTCCTGATTGGTGGAGGCAGGAACTCCTCTACCTGCACATCTGAAGCACACCTGATAAAGTCACCACTGCAGCCTCCAGCTTTGACAGGTGCTGCTTTCATAGCAACAGCGTGATGTGCACCAATCAGATGACATGCACTGTGTCGACAGCACAATATATTATGAGTCTACAAATGAGAGGGCAGGGGATCAGGCAGTGATATTGTTACTAACACCTAACTCTGCCCACCGCTGTGTGACTAATCACATTCTTGTTGGTTGTGTTGATTTGATCTTTTTGGGGTGAGGGAGGGAGGAGGGAGTGTTGAAAGTGATGCTCTGTGTGTGTGTGTGTGTGTGTGTGTGTGTGTGTGTGTGTGTGTGTGTGTGTGTGTGTGTGTGTGGTGTGTGTGTGTGTGTGTGTGTGTGTGTGTGTGTGTGTGTGTGTGTGTGTGTGTGTGCGTGCGTGCGTGCGTGCGTGCGTGGTAGCGGTGCTTGAGGCAAACTAATGTGTGCAGGCTCTGCAGGATGCCAGCTCTCCAACATAATCCAGACACTTTCCAACATGCAATACAAGTATACAGCCTAAAACTAAACTCTGAGGTGCAGATATTCCACTCAAATCAGCACGAATCAAAACGGTTCTCCAGGATGAAGGTTTAGGACAAAAAACACAAGACAAGAAAAAAGGTTTTGACAGATGGTAATTTATAGGGGAGTTGGGTTTTGTTTGTTTTGCAAGTATGTGTGGGGATGTAATTTTATTTGATGACAACCATTTTCATCAAACGTGTTGTTCTTTCATTAATGGGTTTATAGTGGGGGGTTTTCTGCACATTTTGTTTGATTGCTTTGTTATTATTTATTTAGTATTCATCTTTATTTATTTGTATTATTGCATGTTTTTGTTGTTGGAGAAAGTGACATTTGGTGTCATGTTGAAATGTTTAATGCAGAGTATTCATATCCCCACTCATTCAGTAAAGAAAGGGGGGGGGGGGGGGGGGTATTAGGTGCTAAAAGCCAATTGAACCACTTTCTGACATTATAATGATAAAATCGTCCTAACCTGGTCGAAGTAGATTATTCTCGTTTTGTTGCTCATCTCCGACGGCTCGTGGTTGTTGCTCCGGACTGCAGAGAAAGCCACCTTGGAGTTGGCCGCGCGCACAGAGATGCCGAGCGGAGAGGACGAAGCCTTCCAGTCCGCGGTGGGGTTAGAGTCGCACACCACCAGACATTTCCCCTCCAGGACAATAGGCTCCGTGTCATTCTGAGCTGTGGCCACCTCAGAGAGCACAGTCCAGCTGAGCACCAGTATGAAATAGTTCACCATGGCTCCCTCTGCGCCTGATTCCGAAAAGAGAGAGCGTCTCATGTGCCACGCAAAGTTCCGAGTCCCTCCGGCTGGTTTCCCCCGCAGCAGACGCGTCTGACGCTGTGAAATGCTCTTACTGGATCCAAATGTGTGCCATATCCAAATGAGACAAAAAAATAATAACTCTAAGCCTTCTTTTGCAGAAAAAAGGGAATCAGAAATCACCGATTGTTGTCTATGCGTTTCATTTTTTAGGTATACTTTATTTTAAGCTAGTGACAAAAGTAGATAAATGTTTTGGAGAAGACTGCTCCAGTGTGAGAGGCGAATCTGTCGATAAATCGTCCATAGCCCTCAGTCCCTCTCCGAATAACGCGTCTGACAGCAGCTGTTCCCCGCAGTGATGTGATGCGTGTGTGCGCGCACAGCCATCCACTTTACGCACGCACATGTAGAAGTTGCCATTAACTGGCTATGCGTAATTCCCTAAAAGCCTATATTTATCCTAAAAAACTTCAATTTTGGTATAGACTCATTAATTGTCGGTGTTCAGACTGGATATGATACAGGGTTCAGTTCTAACTGTCTTTTTTCTCGGATGCAGCAAATCCACTAAATAATGATCTCCAGATATATTTGTCATGGTTTTCCAGACTGTAATGTAGAAGTATAGAACTGAAAATGCCCTCGAGCAAGAGTTTGAGTGTTTTCTACCACAGTTTCCTGTCCACTGTGGCTGCAGGTAGTGACTCATCATAATCTCATTGCACAGGTGGGCAGAAAATGTTTCAGATTTAATTTACAGCTGCACATTCCTGTGGTGCTCAACAGAAGTCAGTGAGGGGAAACCGTTTTCAGCCAGTACAACTGCTTTATCTTCAAATTCATTAATTTCATAATTTATTGGAGTATGATACATTTGATGTAGATTGTAATGTCATTGATTTTGGGATCTTTTAGTGGATTTATTTCACAGCATTAACCACTGTAAGCATTTGTTTCCTTATACTGAATTTACTCAAAGTGTCGTCTTTTACTTTTTATCCTTTTTTGAAGTAATTCATACCTAACTTTTCTTGTATCATCTATGTTTAAATGTTTTATGTATCTGTTAATTTATCTTGTGTTTAATGTCTGAGTAAAGCACTTTGTATTTAGTCTACTGCTGACAAATTCTGTATATGTTATATATATATATGTGTGTATGTGTGTATTTGTGTATGTTCTCTATTACGTAAATACATTTGTGAATCCTATGTGAAGTTAGATTTGTAACATTGAATAAACACACCATAACTTCCTTGTTTCTGCTTAGTGTTGTGAGCTATTCATTCAATTCAAAGGTTTATTTGTCACATAAACAAGGACCATAAGTAGTGAAATCCTATCGTGTCATGCTCTTGAGGTACTATAGCTTTGAAATAAATATAAAGAGTACAAAATGAAAGATATACAGACTTCAGAAGTTGTAATTAGGGGTATTGTGTAGTCTGCTTTGTGCTATTAAACTGAAATAAGCCTGAATCCTGAAAAGCGCATTTGGTGTTAGGGATTAATTCGCTTTCTCATTAAATCCATGTTTATGATTGCAGCTTTTTGATCTTTGTGGCTGAACAACAACAAGTCATTATAGGTTACTCCGTTGAAAGTGATAATATTGTAGAATTTTAAACAGCCACCAAAAGGGATCTGAACCCATGTCAGCTGATGATGTGAGGAAAAGTGTTTTTAAATGTTATAAACAAGTTGAGAGCATGGTGTTAACAACAGCTTGTCATTAAAACATTTCTAGGTGGTTTGCATGAATATTGGATATCAGTAAAACATCATAAGTTTGTAGGTTTTATGAAAACCATGTATTGGCTCTAAACCAGCCCTGTTTTCAGCTTTGTGACAATGTCTTTTCCAGCCAATCCAACAGGGTTTCCACATATTTTATTTAGAAGAAAGATACTTTTCTCAACCCTTTAAGGAACCCTTCATCCTTCCGTTTATCACAAACAAACAAAATCACTACATTTGGAAATGAAAGTAACTAGTAGGCTAACTGAAGCTGTGAGATAAAGTTAGTAAGGAGTACAAAAAAAAGCCCTCCAAGAACATTCCACCACTTCTGATTGGTTAGAAGGCGGAGTGAAAGTTACCTGTTGGTGGAATTACGTTAAGTCCCGCCCCCTTGTAGGGAGCATATTTGACACTGCAGGAAAAGGTACAAAGTAAACAAGAAAAGACGAGATGGATTTTAACGTGAAACCCGGCCGTGTGGAGGACAACAGACAAGAACATTGACCGAGGGGATCCAGGAAGCCTTTTACAACGTCCCGGTGAGTAAAATATGTTATCTAAACTAAGCTAGCATAACGCAGCTAACTACCGTAGCTGAAGTGTTGTTGCTAGGATACGTTAGCTGCACCTGTTCAGAAGTCGAAAGTAACTGAGTACATTTACTCAAATATTGTTTTGAGATAGGCCTACTTGTACTTGACTTGAGTATTTTCCATTGTATGCTACTTTGTACTTCTACTTCACTACATTTGTTTAACACCTTTAGTTACTTTACATATTTGGATTAATGATGTGAAATATAATCAGCACTTAAATCAGACTTTAGTTCCAACTCGAGTAAATTCACAGGCTGCAGTATACAAAGTGATTAAAACTAGCTGCACCTTTACCAGCTTTGATAGCACTTTAATGCATCACTAATTTTTTTAATTTGCTGTCTGTAATTATTTTACGTTGGAAATGATGATCAAAAGCTCTACTTGTATAGGTAATACCATAGCTGTCTTGTGTTGTCTGTAGTCAGTGTCCTTGGTGTGAAAACAAGCTGAACAAAATCTACTGGATGTTGTAAAATGTTGTTGGACATGACCTCATTGTGTTCATTGTTGGTGACGGATGTGATCTTTGGGCTCCTTGTGTTTAAATGACTTCACTTTGGTTCACAAAAAACAATTATCTCAAGCACTCGTGTGTCACGCTGAGTTAAAGTTCAATGACTAGAAAATCAGTAAAAGCCTTTCATCCATTTATGTGTGTGCTGCTATCTTTGAGGCTGCCAGGTGAGACGGCATCTCGAAAAATGCTTCAACTCGTCATCAGATAGTGAACAAATCAAATGAGTTTTTCCCTTCTTCCTCCAGCAATTATGTCCTTTGAAACTAATGGAGACTTTAGGGGGGCACAGAGCGTTTTATCACCTGAAAGGGACAAAGAAAAGAGAAAGAAACTCAGACCTCCACTGGGTGTTGATAGAAAGAACATGTCTCTAAGGATTTTAATTAGTGGTCAAAAGGAGTTGTATGTTTTCTGCATTTAACACGCTGAGCACAACAAGCCTTGTAGCATATAATGAGGGGCTTTGGTAATCTTCAAAAAGACTCATTTTTTACAAAGTCATTGTACTTTTACACTTATTAAATAGAAAAGTTGTGCATTTTCCACTTTTCAAAGCAATACAATCTGCTATGTGCTTGAGGCAATCTGAGATGTGTGTTCACTACCTGGCAGAGGAAGCTGTTTTCCTCCACAGTGATATTTGTGATTTTTATTTGGGGAGATTTACTTAGAATCAACCCTTCAGGAGTCAAATTGTCTTAATTTCTTGTCCTCCTCAGGGCATCACAATAAGCTGTAAACATTGACCTATTATCCTCACTTGAAACCGCTTGCCTATTTAAATAAGCAGCAGACATGTAGCAACATTAGCATTCATTCGGAGTCCTGTTCGTGGCGATCTGATAAATGTAAGTCCAATATTCACCGTCCTTCCTTCTCTATTAAGTCTCCACTAAATCCTGAGGAAAATATTAAAATATTAGCTGCTTAAACCACATCTATTTCCACGGGCTGGTTGCTGACTTTCTTTGGAGCAGAGCTAGTCATGAAGGGGAGTTCATCACAACTGCCTGCTCCTGCTTGTATCTGTGTTGATGGGAGAACAAAAATAGTGAATTGTAAACAAACAAAAAAGCCTTAAGATGCTAAGAACTCTAAAGCTGAGGTGAACTGCAGATAATGATAGACATTACGACAGTTACAGGATCGAGCCATTGTTCAGAAAAACATTTTGATCACAGCAGCATAACAGCATTAGGCAGGTACATTGGAGCTGTTGCTATGTGTTTATGTGAACTTGTTTTCTTCCCTCAGCTGCCAATTAGGCAAGCAGTACACTCAGAACAAACTCCAACATGAAACCAAATAATACATCTGCAGTAACTTTATGTGCCGTCCTTTAAAAGTGAAGTCTCTGGGCATTCTCAGGATTTAAAGAGGTGACCCTGTGACTACATTTTTTGGCAACAACATGAAACCAGGAGGCTAGCAATTAAGAAGAAGCTTTCCTAAATAGAAAATAGTTAATGAACTCCACCAGTTCATTCTACCAAGGAAGTATTTGAGTCCTTTACATCTTTGGTTAGCCTTGAAGCTAGCAGCCACAACAGCACATGGTTAAAAGGGAACGCATTCGGTTCATTTTCAGGTTCATATTTGTATTTAGTGTCTCTACTGTGACATGTCTCCATGCTTTAATGTTCAAAAAGCTCTTTATTTTTCTCATACTGCCTGTGCTGCAGCACCTCTTTTCACCCTCTGTCTGAGGTGCTGTTTACACGGGAACGAAACGGGTTGTCCCCGCTACTTTTCTCTTTCGTATAGCCCGTTCGTTCACACAAGGCCGTAACGGAACCGCGGAAAAGGACCCCTAAAACGATAACGGGTCCCAAGGTGGATAGATCTGCGGACGGAACGCTATGGGGGGCCAAACGGCTCAGTGTGTACGCCCTATACGATCATTTCCTGATAACGATGAAGCCATAGCCCCGCCTCTCCCCACCTCTGCTGCTCACTGCTATAGCATGGTCAGTAGCTAGCTACTGACCATGCTACAGATGTTAGTGCAAAATCTACAGCTCCTCTATCACAACCATCAGCAACAAGTGGACATGGAGAACTACATGAACTACATATTGCTAAATCCACCGCGGAGAATAAACAGAAGGGCAACCAGGCAACCATGCTTGGGGGTCTTCTTCGCTGCTTTTGGTGTATTTTGTGGCGGAAGTACAGCGCCACTTACAGGCCCGGCATATGTACTACAGCGTCTCCAGCGGGTCGAGAGGTCTCGTGTGAAGGGACACGTTTATTGAGCCGTATCCGTGTGAACGGAATACTTTTTTGATATCGAATTTGGTTCGTTTGCGTTTCGTTTGCGTTCCCGTGTAAATGGAGCCTGAAACCAGAGCGCAGTCTGCTCTGGTCAGCTGATTGGTCAGCTTCCAATTTTTTATTTTAGCCATTGCAGACCATTTACATGCAGACAAACCTAAATAAGACACTACAGGAATAGAAAGGGAAAACCCCAAAAACCGTAACAGTGCTATTTAAATACCTTATTACAGGTAAATGAATACAAACAGTATCTGGTATACTCGTGACCTGCTCTCTCCCCCAAAGATCCAACGTGTCTACCCTGTCAAACCCAACCCCACAAAAAAGGAGACAAAATGGTCTATTTGGGTCTGAAATAGTGATTGGTTTTTACATAAAGTGATTACCTAAAAACTCAAAATGAATATTAAGCAGCAAATCTTCACATGTGTGAAGCTGGAACCAGGAAATCAGGCCACTAATCTCTTTTTTATTTCGGCTACAATTTTGATATATTGGAGAGAAAAAAAATGTAATGGCAATATGTTTCATTGTAATGAATTACCACTGAAGACGCTATGTTCAATTTATGAGGAGTTTCTCCCTTTTACAAGAAAATATGCAGCTTTTTCTGCTCAGTAAGGGGTCTAGTTCATTGTATCACTACAGTTCGAAGTAAGGATCAGCGTTTTTGTTGTTAAAACAGATTAAAAAGTCACACACACACATACCTGTCCAGCACATAAATCAGTTCCAACCCGTGCTTAGAGTATCTTTCTACCTTTTTGAAGGTGAATTTAGTCTTTCTCATCATGCCACAGTGCAGATGTGTTTTTTCTAAATCAGAGGCGGCCTTGGAGCTCCTCCTGGATCGCTGGGAAAGGAAACGTCCCCGATCACTGAGCGGTTGCATGTTCAGAATAATGTCACAGCCAGAGTACACCAGCCTCAGCTGCCGTCTGAAGGGAAGTGTGTTTTGTTCTCCTGCCAGCAGACAGCTGTGGGTATTAGCAGCACGACACAGCATACACAGCGCTGGATTATCAAAATGCATTCCTGATTTGTCTGAAAGCAACTGTCGGTAAACATCCTATCAACCCAAATCAAACCAACTTCTAGCATAAATGTGATATGGATCAGTTTTATTGTTCACAGCGTTATCATCCTTTCATCCAGGTGCATTATACACATACATCTTTAAAATACATCACATCCAATGGCCTTTATAATACATCTGTACAACAACAAATAAAAATAAAAATAGCTTGAACAAATATACATAGATGCAACAGTCTACTTATATCAAACACTGCATTCAAAGTGTTTATTATTTTATCTCGCTGAAGTGTGACTAAGACCAACAGATCTCTCTTTGGTTTGTTTAATAAGTATCACTGAAGTCTCAGCGGCTACTCTAAACTCATATCATTTCAGCGTGGGCCCCCCTGAAGTCGTGGACAAACTGACAGATCAGCCCAAAGAGCTCCTGAGAGTCTTGGTCCGCTGGCTCACCGAATTTCACCTTGACAGGAGAAAAAACAGGATTAGTTGAATAGAAATTAAAAACCTTTGGTCTGACATCAAGTGGAGTTTACAATTAGCAACTGCCTTTACTTTCCTAAGTGAAATGATGCCTGAGTCAAGCTAATTCTTCTTACACATAATTACTTCACATACTGCCTCAGCATGCAGTTAATTCCTTGAGTGCTCTCATACAATGAGGCGGATATGCAGGGTTACGGTTAGGGTTGTTGAATTAATACTTTCACCTGGGTGATTAAGGTCGCAGAATTAAAAAGGAAGTCAAACTTTATCAGAAAGGGTCACAGAGGCTAAGTGTACTAATTGGCGTATTGCATGCTGTTAAATGTGCAGGTTAAAGGTCAGACTCAAGATATGCTGCTGTCACTCCTTCAAATTCTTTAATCATGTTAAACAGATTAAAAGAAAAACACAAGGCGCTATAGTTCCTTATTCTGTTTGTATGATTACTGACCAATCGCTTTCACGTCTCTTCCAATGCAACGTCTTATGTGTCATATATTTTGTATTGTAGATCCAACTTAGATTTCATGGTCATGTTTTATTTATTAAGGGGAATTTGTTCTCATGGCCGTATCCTTCTTCCTGCTTGCATTTATTTATTGAAGAACTCTCTCAAAAGCAGACACTCTTCCACCAAATCTAACTTGGTAACAACAATTGGATATAAAAGTCAAATTCCTTGGCATGCAACTAAGAATAACTTTATTAAAAGATAGAAAAATGAACCAACATCATGAATTGCAACCCAATTCCTGCAAACTAAATCCCTTAAAGGGGACCTATCATGCAAAATGCACTTTTGTACGTCTTTTATACATGAATATGTGTCCCCGGTGTTCCAGGGAACTCGCCAAGTGTCAGAAAACACAACCCTCTCTATTTTCCTCCATACCCAAATCTCTAAAAAAGGGGCTGCAACGGATCTGATAAAAACTGATCCAGATTTGAACACTGTCCTGACGTCAGGACGGTGGCGCTACGGCTATTGGGCCAACTCCACCAATCAGGAGGAGACAGCCACGGCCATTGCCGTTCGAAAGCGCTGGAGACGCTGTAGTACATATGCCAGGCCAGTAGATGGTGCTGTTGCTCACAGAATCAGCCCTTGCTAAAACAGGGATAAAAAAGTGCAAATTGAGCTAAATGAGGCATGGCTAAAATGCATGATCTGTTTGGTATTTTGAAAAAAAAAAAGTATAAATGTGCCTTATATAGGTATGGTCCTACACTATATTATTCAAATATAGCATGATAGGTCCACTTTAACTTAAGGATAGACTTCTGACATTTGTATTAATGTATTGAAAGTCAAAACACCATCATTAGAAATATATAGCGAATTATTCATAACAATACTGGGCGACTGTGGCTGCGAGGGAGTGCGGTCGTGTTTCAACCAGGAGGTTGTGGGTTCGATCCCAGCCCATGCAGTCAACATGTCGATGTATCCTTGGGCAAGATACTTAACCCAGAGTTGCTCCCGATGGCATGGCCAACGGTGTGTGAATGTGTGTGAATGGTAGGTCCTAGAGTAAGGTACACTGCTCTGAATGAATGGGTGTGAATGGGTGAATGACATGTAGTATGTAAAGCGCTTTGAGGGGTCTTAAAGACTGAATAAAGCGCTATACATGTATAAGTACAGTCCATTTACCATTTACAATAAATGACTGATTAAGTCTTTAAATAATAACCCTGGCAGAAAACACTAATATTGTCTAAAACATCCTTAAGCTCTTCCAACATCTCAAAACGTGACCTCTGACAGTGACTCTGTTTACATGCACACTAATATCCAGCTTTTTTTCAAAATGTAATAATATATGACAAATTAGTGTGATTATGCTGAAAAGTCCTTATAAGGCCAAATGTTACATTTTTCCATCAAGGGATACAATGATACTCAGCACATAGGAGCATACTTTGGACATGTATACCCTGAATTTTGAATAGGTGTCTCAATTTTACTGCAATTTTCAACACACTGCCTTTTGTCTGTGTGTGTTGTACACAGTCCAACCAATTAACAGTTTGCAAGGCTTGTGTTGAGATGTAACAAAAGTTAAGACAAAGAAAGATAGAAAAGGAGGTACATGTAAGTTATTTAAAGGGTATAGCCGTAGCAGGACGTACATCTAATCTGATCAGCTGCAGTTAAATGGAAATATAATTGTCATTAATAGCTGTGAATACAACTTAGCAGGAATTTTTAGAAGCTGAATATTGTTGCATGAAAAAAACATAGTCAGTCACTGAGTGAGCCATCTGATATTTACGCAGGTGTGAGACGACTGCTTTCAAAAAACTCTCCAATAGAGAGAGGCAGATGTCAGTCAATTAGCAACACCTGCTCTCTCTATAATGCACTCTCGCATCAGATATGCAAATTCATCTAATTGCATACTTTTATCACAATATTTTTTACTCAGTTTAGGTAAGTAATCCTCTCTTAAAAGTTGATCAGCCTCAATCATTTTTACAGACGTGCTGTGCTCAATAAAACCAACAACTCTACAGCTACACTTTAAACTTGCTTTCGGAGAATAAAGGGAGCTGTTAAATGATGATGTGATTGACTGATGGCTGCATTGATTATGTTGTGCAACCAGGTCTCAACTATTCATTAAAATCTTGTCAAAATTGCAACAATATTCCAATTGCAGGAAGCATAATGTATTTTAAAGGTTAAATAAAGAAATGTTTAAATACCATTTTGAATGATGTATTGTGGAGATGCAGAGATATCGCAGCCTGCAAATCATATTCTACAGATTCCTTTTTCATAATTGTTGTATTCTATATTGATCAATGTTAGCCCCAATCATGCAGCCATCATATTGAACTGTGGTAAATAATGTTAAACATCAAATACAAAATAATAATTTTGGAGCTCCTTCAAATGAATCATTGGTTTACTGAAACCAACAATGTCAGTAGTAGACTTTTATTTGAGTTGGCATTCATAATCATCAGTAGTTGCTAAGGCGGACTAGTCTCTCTCAATTGATAATAAAGTATAGAGGCTATGTGATGGTAAAGCATGTTACAGAAAATGTCTTCTACTTTTAAAGTCATGACTCCAGAATAACAACTGCGAAAAAACAACCCCTCCAAATTCAAACCCTCAATCATTTCCATGAGCTTCTTCTGTGATTAATACATTTGCATGTTGGTTTTTCAAGGGCATCATTATGAATTCTCCCAGTGACAAGATCTGACTAAATATGACGCCTTTCTCCAAACATGCTGCCCCTGCACACAGTACCACCCCCCCCTCCCCATCCGTCTCAATCATTTCCTCCAATGGTGCACATACAGGAGGGACCACAATAATAAAACAGAGGGTGTTTCTCAATGTCGAGGACGCTTCCTTGGTAGGACATGTCTTCCGAGTCAGGTCCTTCAGAAGCGAGGCAAGAATCCTTGCTAGCCTCGGAAAACAAAGAATGGTGGAACAGGCTAACAGGTGTGCAGGTGTGCGTCAGGCCCCGCCTTAAATGGAGCGCGATTTCCGCCAAAGATTTTGGAAATTGGTCCGTGCGCAAAGCATTGTGGGGATTTTAAGACCGCGGAAGATACACATGTGCAGCCTCGAAATTTCCCGCAACGAAGGACGCTGGCCTCGGTAGAATTCCAAGGATCCTGGACATTGGAACAGTCCTTTGGCGGGACTCGATGACGTAGCATTAGGGCTGTGCAATTAATCGTATATTAATCTCGATTACGATTTTGGCTTGCAACGATTACGAAAACAACGTAATCGAAATAAAACGATTATTATTTTTATTTAAAAAAAAAAAAAATGTAATTATTATTTTTTTTAATTATTTTTTTTATTGTTTTTTTTAGTTGAATTATACTTAAAGTTCAGGGTAATCAAATGTTCAAAACATTTTTTTCAATAAATGGATGTTTTCAAAGTAAATGGATAATCGTTTGTAATAATCGTGATATCAATTATTGACCAAAATAATCGTGATTATGATTTTTGCCATAATCGCACAGCCCTACGTAGCATCCTTGAAATAGTGGCTCTGGAGGAGCCTTCCTCGACATTGAGAAACACTCAGGGTCCCCACAGTGAAACTAGAGGCCATACTGCATACTGGGCTCAAAGTTTCGGAGCCCATGACCCTTTTTTGGCCAACCTCCCATTTTTGAACATAGCCTTTATTTTGAACTTAACTAAGCATATGTGATAATGCATTCACACACGACGCAAGGCAATTATTAGCCTCGCGTTAGTTTGACCGCAGCATCATTTGCATTTACTAGCGTCATTCAGACAAGACGTGCCATGTAGTTACCGACAACATTTGATAAGCCATGACCGAAATCAACACTTTTGCTGCCTTGATCATAGTGTAGAAGTCACAGATACGCCTGGATGCCAAAACACCATTATAAATGCATGCAGAGACGCACACAGTTCAGAGAGAGATGCATTCACCGTCTCTAGTAACAAGTCACAAAGTCAGCTGAATTAATCCTGTTAACAGACGTATGAATATATGAATAAACTGCGACGCTTATTTGCCATGCCATAGACAGTGTTTATGAATGTATGTGGTTTGTACACATTTCCTGTCATAGTTCCCGCTTCTCTTCACATTATGACAGTGACACGCACACAGACTCACAAGGTCGTGACTAATAAATATATCCTCTGGTGCAAATTTCATTTAAACATGCAGGAATAATGGTGTTTTTTGGCTCCGCAGCCAGATGATTAAAAACAACTCCTGGCCAGAAGGCAAGGGGACAGTTAAAGGTCAAATTGTTGAATTTTAAAAGGCCAATACCATTACACCACCAGACCATTTTCAATTATACATAGAGGAGTGATTTATGTTGAATAATAGGGAATAATAATGAAATATTTAGGATTTTACTGTAAGAATGCTTCACTTTCAAGAATGAGTTTGACACTTTATCCCCAAACCCACGATATGTTGTTTTCGATGGGATTTTTTAAAACATTTGTATGATTATCAGTTCAGTTGACAAAACTAACGGATACAGTAGATCCACACTAGAAACTTTTTTTCCCCTATCTCAACCTTAACACAAAGAAAAACGATTTTAAAATGTAGGTAAAACATGGACATTATCTTTACTGGCATTTGTTTGGCTCACTCTACGTGTTGCAGTACATTACTGAAAATGTTGTTGGACATCTTCTCTCGTCTTACCCCAAATTTGCTTCCTTGCCAAGAATTACATGAGAGAATCAATGTACTTATGACTAAAACAATTAGGAAACAGCCCTGCAGTGTCCAAGGCATTTCTAAAGCTCATTAAGTAGCACATTATATCTTGTTTGTCCTGTACAAACATCAACGTTTTAAAATGACGAATAAGGGTGTTGATTTGACACTCCAGGAAGTCACTTAGGTGCTGTTTACACGGGAACGAAACGGGTTGTATCTGCTACTTTTCTCTTTCGTATAGCCCGTTCGTTCACACAAGGCCGTAACAGAACCGTGGAAACGGACCCCTAAAACGATAACGGGTCCCAAGGTAGATAGATCTGCGGACGGAACGCTCTGGGGGGCCAAACGGCTCCGTGTGTACGCCCTATACGATCATTTTCCTGATAACGATGAAGCCATAGCCCCGCCTCTCCCCACCTCTGCTGCTCACTGCTGTAGCATGGTCAGTAGCTACTGCTACTGACCATGCTACAGATGTTAGTGCAAAATCTACAGCTCCTCTATCACAACCATCAGCAACAAGTGGACATGGAGAACTACATGAACTACATGTTGCTAAATCCACCGCGGAGAATAAACAGAAGGGCAACCAGGCAACCATGGCAACCATACTCGGGGGTCTTCGCTGCTTTTAGTGTATTTTGTGGCGGAAGTACAGCGCCACTTACAGGCCCGGCATATGTACTACAGCGTCTCCAGCGGGTCGAGCGGTCTCGTGCGAAGGGACACGTTTATTGAGCCGTATCCGTGTGAACGGAAGACTTTTTTTATATCGAATTCGGTTCATTTGCATTTTGTTTGCGTTCCCGTGTAAATGGGGCCTTAGGCTAGCTGTTTCACTCTTGTCACAGTCTTCATGTCAGCTATAAGCTATAAGCCAAGACATAACATGTAAAAACCATTGCATAAACCCCTTGTCATTTTTCTCGTATTAAACAGGAAGAGGTGTTGTACGTAGAGCTGCACAGTTAATAAAAAATGTTAGTGGAATCGCAATTCAAAAATCAGCAATATCGCAAAACATATCGCAATTGCTAAATCAGTTAACTATCAACATGAGTCCTTTTTTTAATAAATCGAGCTCCCTAGCTGAGTAAGATATTCTTTAGTTTTGGTTGTGAAAACGCACCCGCAAATGGGCTATCAGAGAGATATCCCTATTATTTTGTGCTCTGCTATATAGCAATAGCATCGACTGTTTTCAGTTGTCTTCCCCTTTGCTTCCTCGTGTATGCGTTATGAAAAAAGTTTGCAGTGCACATGAATCTAATTGTGGTCCTAATCTAACACAATTCTCTACCGGTCCTAAAGCCCAGAGCTCTCGTAATATCTGAGTTCTCAAACACAGAGGGAAGGGTAAGTGGACTCTGTACGATGATGGATTGTCCTCAGAGATATGGGAAAGCTGAGAAAATAGGCATTACTTTTGTATTGATTGTTTTTGGTGGGGACTCTATAAAAAGAAGACATAGCACCTGTTAAAATGTCAATGGTAGGCTGGAGCTCCATAAACCTAATCTAACCACGTTAGTGAGCAAAGAAGATGTCCTCCTTTATAGACTGTGAAAAACAATGTACCTCCATTCAATCTGATGATATGTGTGACAGAGACATTTACTTCATGACAGATCTGATGTCCACACACACGCTTAAAGGCACCTAAAGTTCTCAGACAAACTGAATAAGGAACACAATAATGGGTACCACTTTACAATAAGACTACCCTTATAAAGGTTTTACGAATAGTTTGTCATTAATTTATTAATTAGGTTGTGAACAATTTATAAATCCTTAATAAGCTTTTATAAGACATGAGATAAACAGGGCAACTGTGAGCGGTTGCTTGCCAAATAGTGAGCCCACATTTATCTGTACTGCTAAGCCTTATATTGGCTACTTAGCTTACTTCGTCTTCTTCATCAGCCAGCATCCTTGGTATCTGTTGCTCACTGACTTGATTCTCGCTAAGTAGCCAATATAAGGCTTAGTCATCTTGCCAAATAGTGAGCCTGTGTTGATGTATGAAAACGGTTAGAACTGGTTTATAAATGGTTCTTAATGATTCATAAAGTGTTTACAACCCAATTCATAACCTAATTATAAACCCTTTATGAATCCTTTATAAGGGTAGTCTTATTGTAAAGTGGTACCCAATAATGTTTTGTCTCAGAGTCCAGTCAAAATCAGAGATCATAAATAGTGCAAGTATGAATTATTGCATTGTGACATGTTACCAATATCTTATTTTATACTAAAGTGCTGCACAATATATGGCTTCAGAATGCACAAGAGTGATGCATTTGACTTTTGTAGCCTCAAAAATGTAGGGTCTGATATTTCCAATATCTTGCAGCCAAGTATACTCCAAAAAAGAACAAATTCACAAAAAGCAATACAACAAATAACTTTGTGGAATGTGTCCTTGAAGGCTTATACATTGCATTAAAAAAACAACACAAAAAAACATCAGAAACCCACCAGGAATGCTCTCTCAGCTTTTTCTTGTTTTGGACCATTCATCGCTGTGACATCGCACATTAACTCTGGTTACAACAGACAGCGGCAATTCTTCATTAATCCTGAAGAAAATATGCAAATGACTAAGTGTGGCATCTTTCAAGGCTGAAAAATCAGCGGTGCTTTCTGTTAAATGATGTGGAGGCCTCAGCTAACCCCTACATCAGAAGCATTATATCCTGCCGTGAGCCCTGAGAGACACCTAGTGAAAAATAAGAAGCCTTGGGGACGTTTTCCTTGTGATATGTGTTTTGTCCCAGTGTGTTGGGCGGGCAGGAGGTGCTGTTAGATGACAAATAATTGAGTTCGGCCATGATAACAGAGCGCTATCCGTCTGTGAGGCTGAACCAGATAGATATTGAAATAATAACTCATGGATTACCAGTATGACAGAGTAGAGTTTCTTCATTTCATCACGCGTCTTCGTCAGTGCTGAGAGACCGGTCTTGTATTTTTCAATCGCCATCTAGGGAATAGAGAAAAAGGAGAAGAAAATCCCTGTGTCAGTTAGTTCACTATTTAGCGAATTGTTAGAAAAACCTTTTCTCTTAGGGTTGAACTCTGAATAGCCCACATTTAGAGCTTGAATGAAAACCAAAATCTAAAGTCTTGGTTTTTGAAGAATGGGTGTGTGTTTAGAGAATTAATTTGCATAATATGAATACTGACAAGTAATGTAAAACATATGCATGGTTTCAGCTCGAATAGTACCAACAAAACAAGTTCATATTCATTTTTAAACACCATTATACTAATGTTTTAACTTAAGGAGAGCTGCAGCACAACATGAACATTTTATGTAGCATGAAGGATGTCATTAAGAGAAAAATATTTGGTGAGAAAAATAGATGTTTGGATGAAGGTACAAAAATGTTTTAATATTGGTCAAGTAATGATATTTGCCTTATAGTGCCTTATAACGTATTTCTATTCGTTTAAATCCCTAGTAGGGAAATGGTGCCTAACAAGCAGCAATGTGCCAAAGAAGGAGAGAGGAAGAACACTACTTTTAGATAGAAACAATGCCGATAGCAAACAATTGATTAGTACAAGAAACAATGAATATAATCAATCCCATTTTTGTTGACAAGGAGACAAAAATGACCTTTTTAAATGAATACGTAAATAAATAATAAACACAGGATTTACTGCCTCACCTTCAAGTCTTTGTAGAATTGTGGGTGTTGACCTCCAGCATTTCTCTTCTTGAACGTTTTTTCATACTGAATGACTTTCTGCATTTCATTCTTCAGCACTGTGTACACACACACACACACACACACACACACACACACACACACACACACACACACACACACCACACACACACACACACACACACACACACACACACACACACACACACACACACACACACACACACACACACACACACACACACACACACACACACACACACACACACACACACACACACACACACACACACACACACACACACACACACACACACACACACACACACACACACACACACACACACACACACACACACACACACACACACACACACACACTTTGGTTACCATCCATCATATTTCACCACTGAAGCAAATAGCTGCTTTAAATCAGATGCTGGATCCTGTCAAGTGATGTATCTGTGCTTGTGGCAAATGTTAGTCATCATAAAGGCGATATATTGCTTTCAGCACAGTGAGATTATAGTGTTTCCACAATATATACTGAAACTACAATAACAGGAAGATATAGTAAATGTTACTATCACACTTCCTTGCAAATAACTTGCGTCGGCACAAAAAAGTAGGGTCAGTATTACAGTAATCTCAGCACATTTGAGAACAACGGTCTTTGGACGCGGTACTAAAATGTGATCTACCCACCGTCAACTTCTGCGGTCAAGCCTTTAATGGAAGCTATCCAACAGAGAGACAAAAAAAAAGCAGTGACACACAGTAAATACGCATTTCACTTAACAGACCTCAATTGGAAATGTAAGACACAGAATTTGTTCAGCTTTGAGGAAATCTTGATTGGCGAATACCTCCCGGGACAGTTTCAAATTCTGCCAAGTCCTCTGTAAAAGCGGCCAGGGAAGGTTCAAGCAACATGATCTGCTCCACAAGGGCATGCAGCAAGGTGAACTTCCTGTCGTTCCCCCGGAGCTGAGAGAGCTGTGGAGGGAGGTTAGAAGAGGTCAAGGCGTGTAGTGTACAAACGTTAAGTTCCCTGCCACACAGAACAAGGACATATTGAAGAAAACGGTACATGTATGAAATATAGCATCTTCTGTGTGTTTGTTGCTACAACATTGTTACCTGAAGGTTAGAGAAAGAATAGGATGGCAGAGCATGGATTCTCTCTGTGCTACATTCACCTCCACACTAGTCTATTATGTCTTGTATTTGTATACAGCAAAGGTGTATAATGACCTTGCTAACACCTGGCTGTTGCTTCCAGATTATGCATTTAGTGCAGGAGTAGTGTTTTTTTATTTTTTTTATTATTAGTCATAGTTAGCAGGGTAGGAAGAATTACTCAGATCTTTGACTTAAGTAAAAGTAACAATACCAAATTGTAAAAATACTCTGTTACAAGTTGTGCACTTAAATCTTACTTAAGTATAAGTACAAATGTATTGACATTCAACTATACTTAAAGTACCAACGTTAAAGTAATGATCTATTTCAGAATACTATATATTTAATTACTGTTTTATGATAACATGTCGCATTAACGTGTCGATCACAGCTAGTAAAGAGCAAATATTGGCTTGTTAAATGTAATGGTTAAGAAATATAAAGGAGTTATGAATATAAATACCCAACTAAGATGATAGTACCTCAAAATTATACTTACATACAATACTTGAGTATAGCTAAACGTACTTTACAACAATCCACCACTGATAGTAGCAGCATTAGTGTTTTTTTTTTATATTAGTATGAAATGTTATTGACTAGAATTTAAGACATAATGCACCTCATGGTGAAATAAGTGAAATGCAAGATGTTCCTTTCTAACCTTGTGTAGTCTTTTTCTAGGTTATTTATTAGCAGTTTAAGGCCATGGCAAGTTTCTAAGGACAACATAAACAATAAAGAAACCATGTATTGATGCTCACAAGTTATAAGGACAAAAATGCGATCTTAGATAACCTTGATGCGTTTTTCTTGGAAACAGTTGGCTATTAATTTGTTGAGAGTCTGTCTCAAGCAGCCACAGTTTACTATTCTCAATTAGACCCGGAAACACCTCTGAGGGAACTCGAGGCCTCGGCTTCATTAAAAGGAGCGGAGGACTTTTTACTTCTGTGTCAAGAGCCCTGCCCTTAAACCTTCCCAGTTGTGAGACATGCACACAAAACAGATGCTCAAACTAAACTTTCCTTTTAAAACCGTACATCCAACAACTACTGAACCTTCATAGGAAAAGTTCAACACTTTGATAATATGCTTTTTTTGCTATTTTAAATCGCTTGATAAAAAGATTGAGACTACTCTTGTATTTGTATGGTACATTTGAAGCTACATGATCCAGCACATGGTTAGCTTAGCATATTAGCATATTAAGCTAGCATGGCTCTGTCTGAAAGTATGAAACCCCAGCGACCAGCACCTCTAAAGCTCACTAATTCATTTATTATTTATTTTTCGTTTTATTCCTAAACACGTTGGGGTTTTATTAAGATTATGTGCTGGACTTTTTTCTTGGTTGGACATTTTGATTAATGATTCTAAGGTTGCCACACTTCAGGAAGTCCCTGCTCCATGACTAAGAATAGGTGTTTTTTTTTTTACACTTTGGTTTCTGTGTGAGTGAAAAGAAACTTGGGATATAAAAACATTTTAATTGGATTACTTTAGAAACTCTGGTATGAGGATTGTGTTATCCTTTGTGTGGAAATGGGCTCAGAAATGTTGTGCTAATGAAAAGATCCACTGACTAGCTACAGTTAATGATGGTTCACTTCGAAGAGATTCAGCCCAAGTGGCCCCACTTTGTTCATAGTTTAATTTCTCCTGTGATGCCATGTAGTGACACTGTCGGAGTCCTGAGTGAACCTGAGCAAAAGAGGAAGATGATGGAAGATGTAGAGTCGCCCTGCTGTGTATATCAATGAGTAGTCTTATTAGCCTTGTGCTGCAGCTCCATCAAAGGTCAGGCAACAGCAGTAGAGTCATACTTTAGTTAAGGAGGAGAGGCGAAATCCCTTGGCCTTTTCCTTCCTTGCGTTCTCGTTGAGGTAATTGCCAACGGTGAGGAGGTACTCCAGCACGGAAACAAATGACCTGCAGTTGTTCAGCTGCGTGCACATTCTGATCTTCTGGTTAATCAGCTGAAAGACAAACGCAGACAGTTCTGTATTCTAGCCACATTCCTTTTCTTCACACAACATCTTTGTGAAATTTTAAGTGGTGTAAGCCCGGAGCTTGTTTCCGGGCTCCTTGTGCTGACTGTGTCAACAAAAATAACTTGAGGCTTTAGTATTATACATTACAAGGATAAACATCAATCTCACAACACATCATTCGACCTCATACAATGAATAATCAGAGCCTTGTTGTTTGGCGGGATCATTATTTGGTATGCAATTGTGTCAAGTACAAATATCCCTCTAGAATATCACACAATTTCCCTGCTTAACCAGCGCTGAACAGATCCTGCTGAATATGGATAGAAATTATTCTAAAAAACTGAAAAGAAATGCAGCTGGTATTTTAGGTTTTGCCAATGCTGTGTATGAAGAAAAAAAAAGCAGTCGGTGCTATGGGAATCGTAGTTGTTGACAATGAGTCCAAATAAAGTCCATGCCAGACAGCAGCTCCCACCATATGCTCCTGTTTTAAGAATAACTCCCCAGAACTATAGTGGGACACAAAGAATAACACAGGAGAGAAAATGAGTATCCAGCTTCTTCTTATCTACTGGCTTTGCGGAAAACCATCTGTACAATCGTAGCAAACTAGTTTGTTTAAAACATAAATAAGCCCATGTTATGTAGCCTGTTTTTCGAGTACAATACATCTAGTTTTAAGGTTAAATGTTTACAAAAATAAGTAAAGAAGTAAATAGTGCAATAGGGATGCTCCGATCGCCAATTTTGGGGCCGATCGCCGGAATCAGTATCGGCCGATACCGATCGCCGATCCAATCGAGTGGGTGGGGCCTATGGGGATCTTCCATTTAAAACTCAGTTAATGGGGCTCATTCACTGGCACTTCCACAAACAACAACCAACATAATTATTACATTCAAATGAAGTACATTATTCAAGTTTACATTAACTTTGGATAATAACACGGGAGCCCCTCTCTCTCCCCCTCTCTCTCTCTCCTGACAGCCTGTCAGTATCGTCTCATGCAGCTCACTGATCCAGTAATGAGTGACCCGACAGTGAAGAATAAATATATTTATAACTAGTTTAGCTTGTTCCAGAGGTAGATAAAATAGCTAAGTGTGTTAGGTCTAACTCTTAGTGTGTGTTTCGCTCCGCTCACCGGTCCGTCACAGCGGGCGGAGCTGCAGGATTTCTGCTTCACACACGTTGCATACCGCTATTTTATTGTCATTTTCGGACACCTTAAAATACTGCCAGACTGGTGAAGCCATTTTGGCGAGCTTGTTTTGCCGCGCACAGAGAAAAGTGTCATGTATTTTACGTCATGTGATCAGCTCTCACGATCGGCCTTTATAAAGAGCACCGATCGATCGGCAGAGAGTGAATATCGGCCGATAACGATCGGCGGCCGATCGATCGGAGCATCCCTAATTATTATAGAACAAATTGCCATTGTTATATTCTATGCAGGTCTTTACTTTAAAGACACAATACATAATTATTCTATACTACTGATTCCCTGCGTTTGGTTATCTCTTGTTATTTGACAAACATGTACAACTTTTACTTGAGTTCTTTATATCTATGTGCTAATGAAGTTATATTTGGTTCTACCAATCATACCTCCCTGTCCAGAGATCTCCTTGTCTAAGAATCACTCGCTTTGATTTTGTGTCTTTGCGTCTCTGAATAATATTTGGAAATACTTGCACACCAAGCACAGTTTAAAGAAGAAGCCAGATCCACAATGCAGAAGAAAACATGACATCCTGACAGTGAGGCGAAGCACCAACGAGTACATCATAGGTAAGAAATATCCCCCAGGTGGGGACTTCTCCATTTTGTCTCCTAAAGCCCTCATGTCTGTCTGCTGGCGAGTAAATCCCCCTTAATGTTAGGGCCTTAAGAAGTCTGCTGTCAGAGAATTGACGGATTTAGAAACTTCTGCAACAAAGCACCTTCACTTTTTCATGCCTGAACATTGTATTGTGATGCGGATCGTATGTCAGAAAGAAACTTTGTTCCTGCACACAATAACTATGGTTTAATTAAAAGAACAATCTTATTAAATATATATCCAAGTCACAACACAGCAGAAAGAGCAACAACATCCGAAAGAAAAAGCCATGCGTAAATTGAAACTTAATGAAAAAGCTAATCTTTCCTGTCAAGTCATCTTGCCTGCTCACAGTATGTTGTGTTTAAGACAAAGAGAAATGACTGTCACCTTCAACGGATTACAGTGCCATCATTCTCATCCTTTGTTTCTCTTATTCTCAAACTGTCAGCAGACAAGAGATTAGGACTGAAGCACTGATGCAGAAAGGAACAGAGGCTTGAGAGAATAAAAAATAAACGGCTGAGGAGGTGGGAGGTACTCTCTCTGGTCTGACTGCAATATCTTCACAGCCTGCAGTCCTCAACACCAATAAACAACAATCCTCTGTACGAGCGTTAATGATTAGTCTGACTAATGTTGAACTGGAGATGTCTGGATACACTGTGAAAGCCTTAAAGGGGCCCTATTAGGGTTTTTTGGGTTGTTCTATAGGTTTGTGTGCATGTAAATGGTCTGCAAAGGCTAAAATCCCAAAGTTCACACCATTAACCCCTGCCTAAACGCCTCCATTGGACTTCTTTGTTTACTTCACTAACAAAATGACATCACTACATAACAATTGCGCTTCTATTGGCTAGCGCTCCAACACATTGTACGTGATAGGCTAAGGGGTGGGACATCTCTAAGCGGTTGATCAATCACAACAGAGCCGGCCAGCTAACCAATCAGAGCAGACTGGGCTCTGGTTTCAGACAGAGGGTGAAAAGAAGTGCTGCAGCACAGGCAGTATGAGAAAAATAAAGAGCTTTTTGAACATTAAAGTGGACCTATCATGCTATATTTGAATAATATAGTGTGGGACCATACCTATATAAGGCATATTTATACTTTTTTTTTTCTTCAAAATACCAAACAGATCATGCATTTTAGCCATGCCTCATTTTGCTCAATTTGACACTTTCTAGCTCTGTTTTTGCAAGGGCTGATTCTGTGAGAACAGCACCATCTACTGGCCTGGCATATGTACTACAGTGTCTCCAGCGCTTTCGAACGGCAATGGCCGTGGCTGTCTCCTCCTGATTGGTGGAGTTGGCCCAATAGCCGTAGCGCCACTGTCCTGACGTCAGGACAGTGTTCAAATCTGGATCAGTTTTGATCAGATCCGTTGCAGCCCCTTTTTTAGAGATTTGGGTATGGAGGAAAATAGAGAGGGTTGTGTTTTCTGACACTTGGTGAGTTCCCTGGAACACCGGGGACACATATTCATGTATAAAAGACGTACAAAAGTGCATTTTGCATGATAGGTCCCCTTTAAAGCATGGAGACATGTCACAGTAGAGGAACAAGATACAAATATGAAACAAAAGATAAGTAGAATAGGGCCCTTTTTTAACATTGTTTCAAGTTTAAGAAATCTATTTAAATAGTAACTTGGTGTGTATTTGTTTTATCTGTACTCATGCTTGAGTGATTGTCTTTGAAGAGAGTCCAGAGGTTTGTTGAATAAAGTTAAATTAAGAAATATTTCCACAGCTCTCCCTTGGGAAAACTCCAAAGTGGATTTTTATTGTTTTTTCTGATAACGATAAAAAAAACTATGTATGATTTTACACCACCTACAGAAAAATGAAACTTGATTTGATTAAGATCCATCTGTTCTTCTCAGTCAAACGAGGAGAAGTGTCTTAAAGTGCCTGTCCTGCCTTTCTGTTTTCAAGACACTTTACCATCCAGCAAATACAGAAACCACTTCATCCACCACTTCAAACATAAATCTCAAACAGGAGGGAGAAAAGCTTTCATGTATTAATGACACTTTCCGCCCAGTTGTTTCTTTCATTTATGTCTAAAGCCACGATGTATCTGAACATTAGAATACATTAGTACTTGTTCTCCTCCAGTGCCGTGCGCTTTCACCCTATTTCAGCTTGTAGGAAACAAAGCCGACTTTAAAACAGCTCAACCTCTGATTCAACCTTTTGATTTCTCTCCGTAGGTGATGGAGTAAACTCACTGGCTGCAGGTCTTTCATGCCGATCGGAAGCTCTCTCAGAGTCAGCAGCAGGTCGAGCTGTGTGCTCAGACACGGGATGTTGCACATCTGCAGCGGGGGGGAAGAAGTGAGTGTAATGAGCTGTGTGCATACAGAACAGAGTGCAATTATCACATCATAACACAACCTATTTCCATGTGATTATTATCTAAAAAGCAGGGAGATACTGAGGGGAGATGAAGTCGCTGCAGCTTTTTCTCACAGACTCTTTGGTGAGATTACCTCGGGCTAAAGTGGAGAGCTGCAGGCCTGTCGAAAGGCTGATTTAACAGAGAAAGTGAAGGCCTGACACCTCGAAGCGATTGGCTGAGCTGCCTAGTCGACCTTTGAGTCAGCGCTAACCTCTAATAAATCATTACGCCTTGTCAGAGCATCTCGCTCAAGCTCAGGGAGCGTCTCCTAAAAGCCAAAGGGCACTTTTGATTGACATATTCTCAGGAGAGATATTAGGATGAGTGTGAGGAATCAAGTTCATGTAATCATTTGGCTATTTCCACAAAATAAAATGAAATCCCAGAATGTCATCCTGCTCAAAGCTCTTTGTCTTTAACATGTCTAATTCAGCATTAACTGTTCACATTGACTCCATGCTAAGGCAAACATGTTTCAAGTGTTCACTCATAAATCGAGTAGTTTGCATAATTTAACCTGGATCAGAGACTCCTGTTCACTAGATTTCAGATTTGAAAAGGAATACTCTTTTGTGTGATTTCTGCACATGATTGAAGTTTCCAGAGAAAGCATGACAGGCAGGATTAAAGAACAAACAAAGACCTAATATACAGTGTAGTGCAATATTCTCAGAGAAGCCTGCAAAGCATTATTAGGATTAGATTTATCTCAGGGAAAAGGTCAGTGCTTCTTTAATGTTACGCCATTTGTTCTGAGATGTTACAGTTGTGTCCTTTCTGTGAAAGTGATTACTTAGAATTAAAAAATATGTTTATTCAACTCTCTACAGCCATGCTAGCAGTGAGGATTCTTTCTTTGGCTTAACCCTGAGGTAAGCATTGTGCTTATATCCCAAAACATCCTAACATGCTTATGTTTAGCAGGTATTCTTTTTACCAGGTTCACCTTCACAATTTAGCGTGTTAGGGTTCTAACATTTGCTAAAGACTGGGCGCTATAGATAGAATACTAGACATAGGATCACCTATCAGCCTGATTCATTATCCGGGGATAATGATTTTCTGTAGAAAATGGGGATTATGATGATAAAAAATGCATGTTGGTTATATGACGCACTATCCTATGCAGTGAGAAGCTGAGAGCAGATGGACTCACTTATTCCAAGTGATAAAGATGCTAACACATGTCAATCTTTGATGATTCATACAAAAAAAATCATCTTTTTTCATTATTCATAGAGTTTTTGGGAGAAAATGTGTGGAGTAACTGACAATTACATATAATGTGGAAAGAAAACCCCCTAAAGGAGTAAGTAATCACCTAAGTTTCAAATGGTAACCATTTTTCTTGCTTTTTAGTGCAACACTTGAATACCTAAGATTATTGATTATTTTGTCTATTTGGTGTAATTCAGGTTGACTGCAGTCTAGCACCAAATCCTTTTGCCTCCGGCCTTACATGAGGTTTCTATAGGCAATGCCTTATGACAAGTGTCAAATATTCCTGAGGCACTGTGGGCTGATCCTGCTGCTCATCGACCTCCCTCCTGCAGCCTGGATCCGACCACACGGTCAGAAGGCTGCATGCTGGCAGGTGATAACACATGAACGGTAAGAGCTTGTCACGACACCCACAGAAAAAGAAGAGGCAGGTGCATTGTCGACTCAACCACTCTTTTTTTATAAGAAAGTGCTTTAGAGTCAGCCTGTTCATATCAAATCCTGATAATCCTACATTGTTAATTATGGTAATCTTGAGCCTTGTTACTATTAGGAGCTATTAACTGTACCTCCATCATGTACTGGTCCACAATATGCAGCTCTGTCACAGGTCCTTTGTGGGATTTGTACATTTCCACATCATCCAACGTGGGGACGTACCTTGAAACAAAACATTACAATTTTACTATTCTTGTTAGATTCCATACTACTCTAAATGTTTTCTCCCATCCACTTCTTACTACGAGTGTCGGCAAATATTTAATTGCTCCATTTTGTTTACCAACTAGTCTCTTGTTGTCTGTTTATCATAACTTTTAGGGAGTTGGATTTCTACAGCTTGAAAACATTTAATAGGTTGTAAATATAATAGAATATTCGTTTTTTAATAAGTACTACAACCCGTGTAAAAAATACAGGAAACCTCTCCCTAATTATTTGCTTTGCCCCCCTGATAACCTCCGGATAAAAAGTTTAGCTGTTTTAAAAATGTAGCTAATTTTATATTTATATATGAAGTTTAGTTATTTATCTGCTTGCTATTTTAGGCTGATTTTAACAGCCATTTAACCTATGTGGTTCTGAGTCCATGTGCAAGATATCGCTCCTTGTATATCCAACAGTTAAAATAAAAACCTATAGGTACATTTTAAAAATGCATGTGACAGTTGGGGAGGTTTTTATTTGTATATCACATACCTTCCCCTTTTCACCTTTTGCATCTTTCTGTCATCACATGTTCTTTACCTCCCTTCCTTAAACTGATGCCATTACATTTATTTCCAGTGGCCCAGATAGTGGGGCGTGATTAAAAGCCAAGTAGTTCTATAAAACAACAAGACGCTGGGAACGGCCATTTACTCACTCGCACTGCCTTTGAACCCCTCTTAAATTGGACTTCATCCTTACGTCATTTCTGTGCGTTCTGACCTCAAAGCAAAGGCATTCACTTTTTCATGAGCAACTGGAGTAGCAACGGCCATTAATATTGCAGCACCTGTTGGGAGTGGTTCTTTCAAAATTGTATTCCTCAGGCCTACGCCGAAGCGCATTAAAATATATATTATGTTTTTATAGAATAAATAAAGCCCCCCCACATAGTGCATTAGATCACTCTCGTCTTCCAGGAGGTCAGCACCCAGAGACGCTGCGGAAACCACAGGTTACAGTCAGGAAGCATTTACCCACTTCCAGTGATATATTCCCGCGGGCATGTCAATAGTCTCCATCTCCGCAAATAACCGGAGATAAAAAATGTATTAGTAAGATGCTTTGGTAAAAGGTTCTGGCATCTGCTCTTTAGTATTAGCACATTGTGGAGACTGCTGTGCAAACCATGAGCCTCCTCCTCACATGACCTGCAGTGGTTTCTCACTTTGTCCTGGCTGCACTCACATCCCTTGTTGAGTTGCTAAGCGGCTAGTTTTTGAAAGCTGTTGTCTCTCACACATCAACCGCCCATTAACCGTGCGGCGAAATGTCATTCACCTCTCGGCTCCAGTTGTGACAATATCAGGGATGAATACCAATCAGCGCTTTTTGGCACAAAGTCATACCTCCTCAGAGACGTGATGTGCCCATCAGACAGGCCTCCATCTTCCTCGTTAATGACGAACAGTTTGTCCTTCAGCTCTCCCGGAAGCACGGGAAAACTTTTGAGGAAAATGTCTAGAAGAACAATAGATATGGAAAAAAAAGTCAACACACTCAATAGTACATGAAAGCTTTCCTCTTGACAGATAGTCTTCTTATCCTGCGATCAAATGACTCAAAAAGCATTCTGAAGACAAAGGGGTCCTTTGCTTAATTACTTTCCCCAAAATGCCTTAGGGGAAATGCAGAAATTTGCATTCTATCAAGTCAAACCTCATTTTTGTATATTACTGAAAATGCCTCTGCATATTTCAGGAGCTGTGAGAATCGTTCATTAGGAGCCGGCTGCAGGAATTTTAGACATATATGTAAAACACATTGGTGAGTTTCACACAGCAGAGATGCTTGAGCCAGATTCAGACACTAGTCCAATTTTCTTTTAATAAGTTGTGAGCTTTGTAACTAACTAACTTTGGGTCAAAACTCTTCCTGAAGTAGAGCTTTGTATAGCTGGACTACACAAATTTGCCCCATATTTGATAAGCTTCAAATACTTTGTAAGACATATAAAAAGAATACTTAAACGATTCGTGAATATAAGAGAGTTGATGAGAAGATCAATACTGCTGTCTATGAAGCTAGCCAGTTAGCTTATGGCGCGTTTCCACTACAGCGCGGAGCACGGTTTAAGAGGGCTGTGACGTCAGCGGCCCGTCTTTGGTTGCGTTTCCACTTGGCCTAGTACCGGCCGGCGGGTCCTAATTCACAGTTTTTCTGGCCTCATAAAATCGTGAGTCTAGGGCCAGAGACAACGAGGCTGAGTCGGGCTGAGTATGCTAAACTAGAGAGAGCATCGCTGGCAAGGGGGCTACAACTACAACAAGATGGACATATTTGACCGTGATTTAATTGTAATACACGTTTCAAAATGATGCCGAAGTAACAACATACTGATACCGGTTAGTAAAAACCATGAATTAATGCTTTGTCAAGTCTGCAGACAGACGGCAGGCGAAAAACCTTTTAAAATGCTTGTTTTCTAAATGGAGATTGGCTAAGCTAACGCAGTATATGCTCCGACCGTCCACACTCACAACAACGGCCTATACAGACATAAATAAAGCAGCGACTGTATTCACCATGACACAGGCAGTCTGTGGTTTGTACTTGTTTAACTTTTGTCTAGTTTCTGAACATATATGAGGAGCTGTGAGCTCTGAGTGCTAACAGCTAACGGCTGTGTTGTTTTTCTGGGGTTCTCATTGAAGATGACGTCACGGCTCCGCCTACACTGCGTTACTATAGATACTACCCCAGTTCCTAAACTGTAATGGAAATGCGCCATAAAGTGAGCCAGTCCTAACGAGGCCTAGCCATACCGAGCGAGGCCGAGCGAGGCCGTGTAGTGGAAACGCGCCATTAGATGACTGAAAATGCTTACAGCTAGCCTGGCTCTGTCATAAATGTAACACCATTATTTTACCACCCTTTTTAAATTCAGTAATTAACATGTTACATCATGTTTTATTAATCCGCTCAAAAAACAAAATCTAAAAACAACAGTTGGTGGGTAAGCTAAGAAATCCATGTATTTCTAGATCGTAGCTCGTGTAGAACTGCAACTAGTTTGTTTCTTGTTAAGATCAAGGCAAACAAGATAGGCTATAGCCTAACACATGAGTGAGCTTCTGAGGATGCTTTTACGTAGATTTTATTACCTTCCGACACAGCTATGCTAACTGTTAACCCCTTTTTCTACTCTTCGTTAAGCTAAGCTATGCTAAGCTAAGCATAGGCTGTAACTTCAATGAACATGGTTTCCTTCTTCTTCTCTAACTTTTAACATAAAAAAGGATCGGCATATTTCCCAAACTTATACTTTTTAGGATCAGTAGTTGATGGATACATAAAACCAATCAAATAATCATATTAAGCATTTTGGATGCAGCAATCATCACGTCTCTAAATCCTTGACATTAAAGTCTGGAGACGCTAATTCCCTCACCAGGACCAACAGCAGGCTTATGTACCTTTTTTAAATGAGGTTACATTTTTAAATATCGAAAACATGCAATTTTGAGCACTACCTGTGGCCGGCCCCAAAAGCAATGGCTAGGCTTCTGTCCTCAAATAACATGTGCAAATCAAGCCCTTTGTTGATTGGCACTCAGACAAGCTGGCCATTGCTCTGGCAAATTAGAGTATGGAGATGGAGAGTGTTCCCCACCGGGCGCAGGAAGCCACAGGTGTACTTTTAATTAGGAGTGCGACATTTCCAGTCATTAAATAGGCCGTGTGCATGGGGACTCTCAGGGTAAATAACCACATTAGCTGGACATGAATTTGAAATAGGATTGCGCCACAATGGATCTCATCCAGAGGTAGAAAGATTCACTGAACTCTTTTGAACTCTTTTTCCTTTTTTACGCTGTTCTATACTTTTACTGCACAACTTTTGAGAGGAAAATATTGTTCGTTTTAATCCACTGCAATTAATTAATACATGTATATTAGTTACTTTTTAGATAAAGGGCCGCTGGATAGCTTATTGGTTCAAATTAGCTCTACGTTAACCAGCTATAACTATAAATGCCGCTGTTCACCGATGCATCGATATAAAAAATATAACAATGTAAATTAATCACCCTCTATGATACTTTAAAGTGGACCTATCATGCTATATTTGAATAATATAGTGTAGGACCATACCTATATAAGGCATATTTATACTTTTTTTTTTTCAAAATACCAAACAGATCATGCATTTTAGCCATGCCTCATTTTGCTCAATTTGACCATTTCTAGCTCTGGGCAGATTCAGTGAGAACAGCACCACCTACAGGCCTGGCATATGTACTACAGCGTCTCCAGCGCTTTCGAACGGCAATGGCCGTGGCTGTCTCCTCCTGATTGGTGGAGTTGGCCCAATAGCCGTAGCGCCACTGTCCTGACGTCAGGACAGTGTTCAAATCTGGATCAGTTTTTATCAGATCCGTTGCAGCCCCTTTTTTAGAGATTTGGGTATGGAGGAAAATAGAGAGGGTTGTGTTTTCTGACACTTGGTGAGTTCCCTGGAACACCGGGGACACATATTCATGTATAAAAGACGTACAAAAGTGCATTTTGCATGATAGGTCCCCTTTAAGTATCTTGCTTATATGTAAATGTTTTAATGCAGGATTTTTTTTTTACCTGTAATGGAGTATTTATTACATAGTATTGTTTTTTTTCTAAAATAACAGACCTAGTACTTTACTAGTCTCTGATCTCTCCAAAGAGGACCAGTGTGATTTCATCAGAATTTCATCATGACTAGAACTGAGTTGAACGTTGTGAAGAGACCGTCACGGACATTATTGTTACAGAATCCCATCTCATACTCATTCACAGGCAAACTGTATAGTACCTTCTCTCTTCTGCTCTGTAGGTATTTTTCTAAAGAAGGCATAAAAACAATCAATACAAGCAACGATCTTGTTGTCAGAAGTCCTTTGGATTCCTGTCGAGCACTTAAAATACTAAAAATAAGTTCATGAATCCTTAGAGCCATTTTCGTATGGATGCTTAACGCGATGTTGTTCTTTCTTGCCCACAAGGATCAACATGAGTACCAGAAGAAAACACTCAGTAACTCAAACACCTGCTCAAACACCTGCTCAAACTGTCACATCCAATCTACCTCAGTGTTTAATTGCAACAAACATATTGTTGTTAAAGTCGCTATGTACACAGTAAGAGGTACGGCTTTATGTCTGACGCTAATTAACAGTTCTGACTTATTTGTTTAATTATTGATCATCTGATGGAGGTGCAGCATGACTATCTGCTGAGATGTTGCTATATTTGCAACAACAACGCAGAAATGTCACATGCATACTGGCTCCCAGTGAAATGGGATCAGATGAATAAATAGTGTGGCAAAAAAATGAGATATGAGCTGAATAAACAGCACAAGTTTAGGCAGGTTTGTGGTGATAAACATGCAAACAAATGCAGGGAGGGGGGAGGGGGTGAGGGGGGATGCCAGGAGATAGAGAGAGTAGAGAAGACATATTATTTTATTTGTTGTATAAATATATGGCTTCATTTCAGATCTGAATTCTGAGGAAGTTCATCTGTTTTTATAATGGATTAAATCAGTTTACAGGGATTTCTGCCCTACTCTGGTATTACCATGTTGTGCTATGTCAAACTTTGATTTGACTGCCAGTCAGATGAAAATGTAGCTTCACCATTACCTCGTATTACTATTAGTGCATCAGTTATTCAATAATACATTGTAAAATGTATATTTATTTTATATTTCTCGGTATTATTAAAACTGTATGATAGTTTCAATTTTGCTAATAGTAATCAGGTTTGGGGGATTACATGTAACCAGATTGCGTAATCAGGATACCAAAAAAAGGTCATAGTATTCCCCATTGAGTTACATAAAAAAACATGTAATCTGATAACTGTCACATTACTAAAGAAGTGGGATTACTATCAGGATTATAATGTTACAATGAAAAAAAAAAGTATGTGTTTTTTTTAATGTTCATTAAATAGTGTGTGATATTTTAGCTCTATGCAATTAAACAGAACATTTTCTCTCAGATTGTATTCTTATTTATTTTTCTTGTATACTATAGTATGTGCTCATGTGCACTTTCATTATTCTATTGGCTACTTCCTGAATATGCCGAATAAAATCCAAGTTTACATTGCTCAGTTGCATTTGACAGGTAATCCAAAAGTAGCAGAAATAAATCAGATTACTTTTATATTGTGATGCTTAGGTTTGGCTACTTATAAAAGTGTTTACAGGTAACTATTAATTGTAATGGATTACAATTTTGAAGCAACTTTCCTGATAGTAATTAGACACTGTTATAATGCAGGACTTACTTACTTTATATTGAGTTGTCTTAACATTATACTTTTGCTCATTTCCTTTTAAAAGTGTCCATACTTCTTCCACCACTGCTGAATAGTCACTTTTTCAATCAGTTTTAATAAGACCAAAGAAGAGACAGACAGATCACCTTGTTCTTCTAAAGTCTACCTTTTTCTAAAGCTCCAGCAGAATGTGCATGGCCTCAGGTTGCCTGCAGGCTGTCATCTCTCAGCACCGGCTCCTGACACAACCAACGTTTCCAGGTCAGGCAGGAGCACACACTCTGAAAGCCTGTATTCTGAGCCAGGACAGGAAATCCCTGCCATTGTCGCTCAGATGCCCTTTCCATATTTTATGAACATGTGATTTCTAATTATATTTCCAGCCTGTACACTCGCACCGATTCCATTAAGAAGCCCACCTCCACCACCACATCTGTATCGCCACACAGAGTCTGTGAGAGGAAGCTTCTGAGATGTTCTCCCCTAACCCCCTGGCTAGGGTCTTGAAATATACAAGCCACGTACACTGAGTTAATCAAAAGTGAGATGAGATACAGAATATGTTCTACTTTACAAAAGCTCTGCAGATTGCATAGATAGTTGTGTCACTGCAGGATTGATGACACACTGCCCCCTGCAGACACAGAGGAGGAACATCCATCTATCTGCCTTACACACTGTCATTATAGTTTCATTCATCCTTTTAAAAGAGCAGATTGGCATCATTTAACGGCCCTCCCCTAATAGATCCAGGTCAGATTCCTCCTAATGGGACGTTTTAGTCTCATTTATGAAAATGAATACTGACATTAACACTGATTCTGCAGAGGTCCTGGTTACTCTTTCTATGTGGTGCTTCCCTCTGCTGGATTCAGTTCACACAACATCTTTTGATTTACTGAAAGTAAAAGGCCCTTTATGCTTATGTGGTGTCTCTTGTGTAATGTGTTGTATAGGTTTGTGCATGTAAATGGTCTGCAAAGGCTAAAATCCCAAAGTTCCCACCAGAGGGAGTTTCTCTGAACCTGAAAATTAGCATAAAAGGGCCCCTTTAAAGCTTACTGATCTGACTAGTTCCAGAAGGATTCCCTTTCATTTCAACATGAACATTGTAATTCATATAAAACACTGCAAATCAATGATTATAACAGACATTATTCACAACAAGCAACTTCACATAAACACTCAGACATTCATTATCAAGCTACTCACTGAAGTTGTGTGCAATCTTCTGGTTGAGCATTATATGCTGCGTGGTGCTCGGCTCAGACGCACAAAACGTCCCCATGTCTTTAACGGCAAATTGCTCGAATAAGCGCGATGTGTCGATTTCAATCCTCCCGGTGCTTTCTTGTTTCCAAAATGATTTTGCAATCTGCCAAGAAACAAATTGTGTGTGAGTGAGACAACTCCATTATAGGAGGAAATCAATGTTAACATTACAAAAGAGCAACGCTGGGGAAGCAATAAACGACTGATAATACAGACTATAATTCTCAACAATGATGCAATATGAGGTTCTAATGATGTGAAACCAAGCTGAAACTGACCTTTCAGTGCCACGATAATAAAAACACTTAACAATACATACAATACACATTTAAATATGAATAATTCACACTGATGAGTCACTTTGTAAGCTTTATACTTCAAATATGGTAATATATAGTCTTCTGATGGATGGAGTTTTAACTGACAAGTGACAGTGTTACCTTATCTGTGCCAACTACGTCCCAGTGGAAGGCTTTGGTGCGTGGCTTTTTGAAATTCATGAACTTGAAGGGTAAAGGTGGAGGCGGCGGGATGCTCAGGGGGGGAGGCGGCGGGATGCTCAAGGGGGGAGGCAGCGGGATGCTCAGGGGTGGAGGCGGCGGGATGCTCAGGGGTGGAGGCGGCGGGATGCTCAGGGGTGGAGGCGGCGGGGTGCTCAGGGGGGGAGGCCTTTTCACAACAGGCTCTGGGTTAGGAGACTCTGGGGCTGTGGAGGATGATGTGAGGGCAGGGGTGAGGGGTGAGGGGTGAGGGGGGGGGTCGGGGGAGATGAGGCAGAGACACCGGGGGATGTGGGTGATGATACGGGAGGCAACATATCAGGCTCTATAACAGCAAGGTTTTGACTGATGCGAGGTTTAGGAACAGGCTTTGTCCCATCAGCTGTGGGATCATCTTTACTCATGTCTTCAGCTGATAAATGATCTTCACCACAAGGAGGGGGATTTGCATTTTTATAATCAACTGGAGGATAAGTGATTATTCCACCAATCGACTGGAGATCTGTGTCCTCTGGCTCCTCTGCTATGCTGAGATGTCGTAGAGCCGGTATTCCCACAAACATGTTTTCGCACATTGACTTCCTCTTCCACCCTGAGCACAGTTTGTCGATGGCGTGAACCCAGGCGTCTCGCTCAACCTGAACACCAGCCGGGGCGGGTGTGTAATCTGGCACAGGCACCCGAAACCTGCAAAAGATCAACACAACTTCCCTTTTTATTTGACCTTTGTCTGGTAGTTAAAAGTTGAGGCCTATATTTATGACATTATAACTCAAACAAGGCTGCATCCTAATACATACTTTTTATGTTTTACATAAAACAATCCAATGTTTTTTAAATGCATGGCAGAAGAGATTAAAATATTGAGGGGCTGAAGGGAGACAGACAAATATGAGATAGCAAGTGCTATGCTAAATGAATGTCAATAAAACAGTGGCTTATCATGCATAATACATCTAAAAGTATTTATATATACTGCGTCACTTTATAATTGTAATCTCTTTCCTTCTGTAATGGCTTGTTTTACTTTAGGTGAGCAATTCCTTTAGACACTTGCAGTAAAGTCAGCAGTTGGCTGCAAACTATTCTACATCTCTTGTTGATGTTGGTTTTACCTCTCCTTTGTAAAATGTCCATGAGGGGAGACATATGAAACTTAATCCAATGGTCTTTATTTGTTTTGTTCGCTGGTTGTGAAATTATTACAGCCAGCTAAACAACAGTGCCTACCGACCATGTTTGTAAAGTTTAATTGAAAGTGTTACTTCTAATGAGCTCGCTGTGAGGTTAGTCAACAAGTTGCTGACGCTGTTATCCTTCAAAGATGGCCGACTTGCTGTTGATAGCATCTCGTTCTTATTAGGATTAAAGTAAAAGTATTGGTTTGCTCCCTCTGACTGATTTCTTAGTATATACAGTATGACATCATGAGATCAGATTTTTTTCTTTCTCTAATGTTTGATATTTAGTGAGATATATGATCATTATTGACATGTTATCATGCGAAAACTTTAGAGGGAAAAATCAATAATTAGTGGAGGTCGTAGTAAAAAAGGTTGGAATGTTTCCACATCTCAATAGTCCTTACTCACTGGTACTCATTCTTGTGTGTGATCAGGGTGAACGTGTCGGAGCCGTGAGGTTTTGGTACGCTGGTGTCTCCGTCCGACAGGTGAACCACGATGGGGACGGTCGGTGAGGACGACCCCTCACCGTCAGCGGGGCCCCGGCGCTTAAAGGGGACCATTGTAAGCTCGCCTGGGCGCAGCTGTACCATATATCTGGAACAAGGGAGAAGGTAAGAAATAGAGGAACTATACGTATACTATATAACAACTGTATTCAGTATGTATTATATACTGAACTTCACAAACTGTTTTGCAGGAAGTATACTTGCTGTCCTCTACTATTGAAGAAATAATGAAAGGGGAAATTACATTTTTACTCAATAGGTCGATATGTAAACACAGTAGGCCTACATATGAACAGGCCCTGTAAACATTAGGTTTGAAACAAACACATGCATTAACCCATTCACCTATAGGCTAGGCCTACTGGTTTCTGATGTTGGTATTTTGGATACAAAAAATAACTCTTCAAGATTCAGATTCAAATTCAGAAATTCTTGTTTCTAAATCACCAAATACCGTTTATGGCATTTGTATAGTTTTTTATTAATATATTGGTTATATATATATATATATATATATATATATATATATATATATATATATATATATATATATATATATATATATATATATATATATTGGTTATATATATATATATATATATATGTTATCTTTGGGCAGAGTCAGATTAGCTTCCCGTTTTCTGTATGCTAAACTAAACTGACCACATGGTGGGTCCACACAATGTGTAGGTTTTTTCAGGTGCGGTTTGTCAACACACGTCCTCCCGGTCTCAACTTGGGTTAGGGTGCTTCTGACATTTCTCATCACTATCATAAATGGTGTTTATCTGTTTTACTAAAGTAGCGTTACAATAACAAAGACACATCCGTACTTCACCCATCTGAATGATGCCAAGCCGCCTCTGTGCAGCAACAAGACGCCTTCACGAAGACCCTGTGAGGCTTCAGGCTGCTGAGGGGTTTCTGCATTACACTCTTCAGGGTCACTGTATATGTTCGCATAAATGATCCGATTCACAAGCTGCATTATCTGAGAAGCACCCGCCGGAAAATAGTAAAAAAACAGGAAAAGGAATTTTTAAAAATAACATGTTTCGTTCTCTCTGCATGTACACTTTTCAACACAAATGACAGGTTTTTAGAGTTCCCACAAATATACATTTACCTTGTTTTTTTCTTCACCTGAAGTGGCCTCCAATTCATAATCATGATATCCTTTAAAGGAAATGGAGAACCTGGAACCCACTCCTTCATCACAACTCTTGACAATCGAAAAGAGAAGTTGCCGCTTGATGATGCCTTTCTCGATGCTGCACAGCATTTTGGTTTTAAAATCAATCTGGGTTGGTCACAATGAAGGGGTTTGAATTCATATATTATTTTCAGTAACACAGTAAAAATGTTATCTTCTGACAGTGTTTTTAACAATGCTAGCGGGCTGATACACACTGAATGATCTCACAAACTAAGGCAGGGGTTGGCAACCCGCGGCTCTTTAAGCCCTCTGCTCTGGCTCCCTTGAGCTTAGACAAAAATAAGAAGGAAATAAAATAAAAGTATTTGTAGGACTATTTATATTTTGTTGCACGGTTGAAAATGTTTCGTATCTTGTATTTTGAGGTGATACTGTGACACATAAATAAAAAACAAAACGGTTTTAATTAGGTCAACTAAAATATGCGTCATATCCTACGACGGTCCCGCGCCAGCAGGTGAATAACCTGACCCCCGGCTCGATGAGCGAACTATGGATAAATCAAAGAAAAGAAAAGTATCGGAGGAACACAGAGGGTTTAATTCTGCGTGGACAGAGTTATCTGGCTTCACAGCAAACGATGCTGGCTTACCGGTATGTTTGATATGTGGAGAGAAGTTGTCAAAGGTGCTGCAGCCTTTACGTATTGGAGGAAAAACACGGAAGAGGAAGACAGCTGACGATCTTCAGTCATAATTCAATCAGTAAACTCTTTTTATGGTGCAGGGTGCAGCTATTTTATTTATTTATTTCAAAGTGGGTCAATTTTAATTGTATTTTTGTTCCTTCAAATGTGCAGAGGACTACCCAAGTGCTGTGTTAATTTATTTTAAAGTATGCCTGTGTATTTTTTTTTTATTCTCCTTATAAGAGTTCTTTGTTTCTTATTAGAGGTAACAGTTTTCTATAATGTAATAAATAATAAATGCAAAAAAACTGTAGTTTTTGTCTATGATATAACAATAAATACAACTTTATAAGCTATCAAGCTATCAAATATGTTTTGCGGCTCCAGACAAAACAAATTGTTGGAAAAGGGGGCAAAATGTCTCTTTTGGTCAAAAAGGTTGCAGACCCCTGAACTAAGGGATGGATTGCCAAGGAAGCTTTTTAATTCATTCATGTTCCCCTGTGGGTGATTCATACTAACTTTGTTGACTTGCTGTAAATCTTTGGTTTAGGACCAAATACCTGCAAAAGCAATGACTCCCCCGTTAGCATCAGATAGACTTTGTGTAAATTAGCAAATGCTAGCATGCTAACTTGCTAAACTAAGATGGTAAGCATGGTACACATTATACCAGCTGAACAGCATGTGGGCATTGTTAGCAGCCTTAGTGTGAGTTGCTTTGGCAAAAAGACTCACAGACTTCCCTGATAGCATACCTTTATAATCTTTGTTTTGTTAATTTTAACTCACTTGAAGAACCCGCTTCTGCCACCTGTACCGGTTGTGCTTGTGAACACTGAAGTTGTACTGTGAGGGTTGCTGTTCCTGCAACAAAAGCACAACAACTAAACATTAGAAACACGTAGACCTTAAGGAAATAACACATTTGAATGAAAAACAGAAAGTATCAAGATAACTATCTCTATTAAAAAAGGTATGATATCATCGGCTCTAAACTGTTTCCTGGTAGGTGTAGAACAAACGCTTCCACATTCCTTCACACAATACCTTTGGGCCTATCAAACTGGACATACAATGGTGTTTTGAAAAGCTAACCAGCAGGCTAAGCGGCTTATTAGCATGACCATATCTAGAGAGTAGATGATGACATGTGGGGCACCAGTCTTCCATTTTACAAGACAGTTTTAGATGAGAAGATTTAAACACATGTATGTGTTGGGGAGATGGAAAACGTTGTAAGCAAAACCTCCATGTCTCTCGTTTTTTATAGCCTGCAGCTAACTGACTTAGTTGAGTCTCTTTATAATGTGTTTTTCAGCAGCTCTTTCCATCATTATCTTCCCATGTAATGTGTTTATCATATCTTATATATTTTAAACCAACGTTTAGCCTGATGTATTAAAGGTGTTGGGAACATTTAGTAGTTTGGGAAGGATTTGTTTTAGGGTATAGGGTCTATTAGGTCTTACTATTGTTTTTATAAACTTTGAACTATTGAACTTTAAATCACAGCCAATCTAATGAGCTTGGTTTAAAGGGGCCCTATTACAGTAATTTTCATGTTCATATTTGTATTGTGTGCCACTGTGACATGTTTACATGCTTTAATGTTCAAGAAGGTCGTTATTTTTATCATACTGCCTTTGGTGCAGCACCTATTCCCCGCCCTGTCCTCTGGGGAAACATTTAGTAGTTAGATGACTTAGATTATTACTATTTATAAACTTTTCAGGGAAAACTGTACCATATACTAATTCTCAGGTCAATGTAAAAACTTCTGAAGGACAACCAATGTAATGTTGAGGAAGCTTTGTTTTAAATGCTGGTACCTCTTCAGTCGAGCTGTTCTGTTGTCTGGCTTCCTTCAGAGCATCTTCGATGGACCACTCTCCGTTCCTCACCTTGTTCATGATGCTCAGCTGATCCTCATTGCTCAACTGAAAATACAACAAGCCAGTAAAAAGTATTGTGAGGTTAATTACCCTGTGTGTATAGAAGTTATCCCTGTTGTAAACTTGTAATGTTGGTTCATATGTCCCACAATATTCATGATTGTGATTCTAAATCTAGCGTTACATTTGGTAAACTAACACATGCATCATAGTGTAGCAGCCATTTTCTCCCTCCTTTATTACTTTCATGCCCTTCTATTTACCAATCAGTATTTTAATTTGGCAATATTTGACCATAGCACTGCTGTTCAAGTTCTTATAGATAATAATAGTTGATAAGAGAGTCAGTGTCAGCTCACTGAAACTGTAAAGAGGAAGCACTGCGTGGCAAAGTTCAATCAGTATCTGCATCTGTTCATCATGAGATTTACAGGAACAAAATGATCTGTCACATTTCTGAGTAACTTGGTGTTCTTTTGTCTGAGCAGCAGGGAAGTCGGATTAAATTGAGGAAGTAAGAAATGCTCCAGGGACTTCAATAAACCAAAAAGGTTTCTCCTACTGCCCTGAAGTGACGGTAATGAAAGCAAGAGGGGGTGAGCTTCACAAGTATTGACTTTACATGTACATCATAGCACATTTGCGGTTAATAACATAGTATATTAGCTGAAATCGTACCTGTGGCAGATCCTCAGTGTGTCTGTCCATTCTGGATGGGTTGTCTTTCTTCCTTGATCCTAAATTTGGCATTACAACTTTTGTAGATGACATACAAATCCATGCAAATGCTCAGTCCATTTACTGCTAATCTCTCATAGCAACGATACGAAAGCTGTTGTTTTTTTTGTCACGCAAGTCCCAAATAGTGATCTGCTCCTTTAAACATGGGAAAGGAAAAGGCTGTGATTTGTATGACTATTTTTCTACCACCGCCCTCTTTCAGATCATATTACTGTTCTCTGTAAGGCAGGTACTTGCTGTTTGGCCACACCTACAGTAGCACACATGCTTTCTCTGCAGAACAACAGAAAATTCAAGTCGGTTTACATGTCTCCACTCGCAGCACAATGTGCATTGCTTGCTGCTCACCCTGTTTCACCTAGAAAGAGCACTAAGATACCGGCAGCTCTTTTCCCAGACCCATAGAAGTACAATTTAATACAAAAATACAACATGTATTATGGATTACTATACTATGTACTATGGATTACTACTGAGGATTTATTCTTCTATACTCATATGAAATATCACTTTTACTATATTGTTTGTATGAAAATCCAGGTTAAGTCACCTGTGAACTGAAACGCAAATGTAAATGTTTCATATGTATAATATGTATATTATTAATTCAAGAAAATGTAAAGTGAGTAGTTGAAAGTCATTTCAAAAATCTATATTTTACCCTTTCACCTACCATTTTTTCAACCCTTCCTCCAGTCAACATTAAACAGTGTGCATAGCTTTTCTGAACAGGACAAATTAACGAGGGCCTATACAAGAAAAGGCACACAATTGCCAGTACAAAAGAAGCAGAATAACACTAAATTTAGAGGTAAAATTGTGTAAATATTCCCATAAAATGCTTTCATTTTCATGAAAAGGATTATAATTATATATCCATTGGAATTTCCAGCTAGGGAAAGTTTGAGAAAATGCAGTGTGCAAGTTTTTCCGGTGCTCCCGGTCAAAGTGCAGTAATTACACGAATACACATGCAGGCAACGACATCTGAACACAGCTGGTTTACTGGCTGTTGCCTAGCAACATATGCATGAGGTGAGGGCCATAGACTGATAGGGGCAGAGATAACGTGGTGGTGTTAGACACTGTTACGCCCAGGTTTAGGGGAACCTAGGCGCATAAACAAATAACCCTGGGCATACATAAAAATTGCCTAACAAAAATAAGTAAAATAAAATACAGGCTTCTTACCTAACCTAACAAAAAAACAGGAGAAACAGGATTTGAACAAAAGAAAAGGGTGTCACACTCCTGGGCAAAGCAAAGCGTGTCTTTCAAGACAGATTCAATTAGCTCAGCATTTCTCAAAGTGTGGGGCACGCAGAGATGTGATAGGTGGGTCGCGAATGGACGCGATGAACCGGAGATTATTATTTTTTTTTTTTTTAATACATTTTTTGGACCTCAGACCGGAATCGAACCTGGGTCCTCGCGGGCGGTAGTGGACTATTACAGCCGGAGACTCGCAACGGCGGTGGACTTTCACAGCGCCGCTGCGCAGGACCCGCCAGAGCCGCCCAACGGCGGTTGTTTGCGGTGGCGGATGCGGTGGCGGATGGGGTGGCGGATGCGGTACCGGCGCAGCGGCGCTGTGAAAGTCCACGGCCCACCTATGCCAGAGCCAGCGGTCCACCGAAGGCAGCAGCCCACCAACGGCAGCGGCCCACCGGGAAAAGTCCAGAATCTCCCGATGGCCAATCCGAGACAGTGGCACCTGACCACCTCATAAGGAGTTTAACCTTGACACTTTTCAAAATCCCGTTTGTGTCCCCCCACTTTACAAATAGGCCTATGTTTATTATTATTTTTTAACGCAAGACGTCATCGCCACGGAGGAGCACACAGCCTCTGTGAGCGAGCGAGAGAGAGCGAGAGAGCTAGAGAGAGCACACCTTTATCTATTTAATATAGATCAAATAAGAAATCTACGGTGGCCCGGAAGTGCAAGACACCACAGCATTTCACAAAACACAACAGCATTTCAGAAAACACAACAGCATTTCAGAAAACACCACAGCATTTCAGAAAACACAACAGCATTTCAGAAAACACCACAGCATTTCACATTGGACGGAAAGGGTATTCCTTTAGGGAGAACACTTCTTGTTTGTGATTGGACACAGCCAGCCAGAGAAGCACTGCTGTGATTGGTTGTTTTTGCTGCCAGTCAAGAAATGACGCTTCGTGATTGGTCAGCACCCGAGCGCAACATGTCCCAACACATCAACCGTTAGCTGTTAGCACACACTCAGAGCTCACAGCTCCTCATATCTGTTCAGAAACTGGACAAAAGTTAAACAAGTACAAACCACAGACTGTCTATGTCATGGCGAATACAGTCGCTGCTTTATTTATGTCTGTATGACGCTGTTGTGAGTGTGGACGGAGCAGCTACAGGTTAGTTTAGCCTGATCGATCCGCCCCCTCTCCAGCACGTCTTGTTTGAATGACAGGAGTAAACACTGACAGCTGCGGTGAAACTCGACAACAAAATGAACATATTAACCATGATTTAATTGTAATACACGTTTCAAAGTGATGCCGAAGTAACTACATACTGATACCGGTTAGTAAAAACCATGAATTAATGCTTTGACAAGTCTGCAGACAAGACGGCAGGCGAAAAGCTTTTAAAATGCGTGTTTTCTGAATGGAATCGGATCCATCAGGCTAAACTAACCTGTAGCTGCTCCGTCCACACTCACAACAGCGTCATACAGACATAAATAAAGCAGCGACTGTATTCGCCATGACATAGACAGTCTGTGGTTTGTACTTGTTTAACTTTTGTCCAGTTTCTGAACAGATATGAGGAGCTGTGAGCTCTGAGTGTGTGCTAACAGCTAACGGTTGATGTGTTGGGACATGTTGCGCTAGGGTGCTGACCAATCACGAAGCGTCATTTCTTGACTGGCAGCAAAAACAACCAATCACAGCAGTGCTTCTCTGGCTGGCTCTGTCCAATCACAAACAAGAAGTGTTCTCCCTAAAGGAATACCCTTTCCGTCCAATGTGAAATGCTGTGGTGTTTTCTGAAATGCTGTTGTGTTTTCTGAAATGCTGTTGTGTTTTCTGAAATGCTGTTGTGTTTTGTGAAATGCTGTTGTGTTTTGTGAAATGCTGCGGCGTTTTCTGAAATGCTGTTGTGTTTTGTGAAATGCTGTGGCGTTTTGTGAAATGCTGCGGCGTTTTCTGAAATGCTGCGGCGTTTTGTGAAATGCTGTTGTGTTTTCTGAAATGCTGTGGCGTTTTCTGAAATGCTGCGGCGTTTTGTGAAATGCTGTTGTGTTTTCTGAAATGCTGTGGCGTTTTCTGAAATGCTGTGGCGTTTTCTGAAATGCTGCGGCGTTTTGTGAAATGCTGCGGCGTTTTGTGAAATGCTGTTGTGTTTTCTGAAATGCTGTAGTGTTTTCTGAAATGCTGTAGTGTTTTGTGAAATGCTGTTGTGTTTTGTGAAATGCTGTGGTGTTTTCTGAAATGCTGTTGTGTTTTGTGAAATGCTGTGGTGTTTATTGAAATGCTGTAGTGTTTTCTGAAATGCTGTAGTGTTTTCTGAAATGCTGTAGTGTTTTCTGAAATGCTGTGGTGTCTTGCACTTCCGGGCCACCGTAGAAATCATTCCAATGTGTACTATAGGACAGTAAAAAAAAAAACACAGTTTAAAAGGGGAGTGATTAGTAAAATATGCATAAATAAAAAGAAAGAATGCTAACTAGGTAACATAAGATAAGAATAAACAAGTTTAAATGATTTGTTATTGGTTGTGATCATATTCTAAAGATGTTTGGATTATTGAAAAGTATACAGCTCCCTTCCATCTGAGTGTTGAGAGCTGTTTCCATCAATTCATGCACCAGATTGATGCATTTAACTTCAACATTTAAAAAAAAAACATCTTCCCGGGGGAGCATGCCCTCGGACCCCCCTATAGGATGTGAGGTCCACCCCCAAATAAAGCAGGTTAAAATAATTAAATTGAATACATTTTCTTTTAGTAAACACTGAAAACGGGTCCCACAGACCCAAACAGCACACAAAGGTTAAAGGTCAGCATATAATAATGTTAAAATGTGCTAAATATATACACTGCAAAAAAACAAAAAAAGAGGAGTAGAAGTAGATCACGACTTGTTTTATTTTTTTTTAAAGTAGCTCTCATCCTAAAAAAGGTTGGAGACCCCTGAGCGATGAGGAACAGGTGGGGCTTGAAAAGGCCCACCTTTTCAAAGTGGGGAATGACAGGAAAAGTTTGAGAACCACTGAATTAGCTTATCTTTACAAAGATACCAAAAAGTACAAAAGGACCGGTAATCGTTAGATTTAAAGGTGGGGTAGGTAAGTTGGAGAAACCAGCTCGAGTGCGCTAGAATTTGAAAATACACAACCGGAAAAAATCTGCCACTTCTTTACAGAGCCCCTCCTCCAACACACACGAACGCGCTCATGACCAATGAGGATACGAGATAAGTTTGTGCACAGATGGAAGGCTGACAGGCAGGTAGGCCATCCAGTTATTTTAGCCGGGCTGGCTAAAATGATTGGTCGTGCTTTTTACAGTATTACGGCTTCCACAGATGACATTTTTTTATGGATTTTTTGTCAAAGCACTTAAGATATTCATTGCTATCGGGATGTTAAGAGCATTCCATGGAATATAACAAAAAGTGTATCTCGAGCCGGTTTCTCAAACTTACCTACCCCACCTTTAACCACACAGAACAATAGATCAGGTTTTCTACAACAGTCACGGAGTTGGGAGTAGGAGAGAGAGGGCAGAGGAACTGCGTGGCTGCAGCTTAAATGCTCCTGTCTCTTCAGGTGGACCAATCAGCCCACCACCTGCTCACTCACACACACGGTGGGTGTTTCTCAATGTCGAGGAGGCTTGCTTGGTAGCACATGTCTTCCGAGTCACTTCCTTCAGAACCGAGGCAAGAATCCTTCCTAGCCTCGGAAAACGAAGAATGGTGGAACCAACACATCCTCACTCCCAGGTCGGCGTATGTTGACGTTATGTCAAGGTCCCCTGTGGTCTTCACAACGGCCGGACAAAATACTTTGAGCCGCCCTATAGCCAAAGCCCGAGACACTGTTTAAAGCATAATAAAGACAATATATAGAGAGCATAATGTTTTTAATGCAATGCAGTCTCGCAACGTATGCTTCAGCAGAGAATGGCCCGCGGCGGGAAGCATTCGCTCGTGATCTCAAGTTGTCTACAACATACGTTTAGGGAGCTATATAGAAGCCTATGGACATCCCGGAAAGTTGAAAATGTACGCTAAGGGCCGCCCCCCTTGCTTTGGAAAAAGACCACAGGGGACCTTGACATAACGTCAACATACGCCGACCTGGGAGTGAGTATGTGTTGGTGGAACAGGCTAGCAGGTGTGCGTCATATGCGAGGCCCCGCCTTAAATGGAGCGCGATTTCACCCAAAGATTTAGAAATTGGTCCGTGCGCAAAGCATTGTGGGGATTTTATGACCGCGGAGGATACACATGTGCAGCCTCGACATTTCTCGCTACGAAGGACGCCGGCCTCGGTAGAATTCCAAGGAGCCTGGACATTGGAACAGTCCTTCGGTGGGACTCGATGACGTAGCATCCTTGAAATAGTGGCTCTGGAGAAGCCTTCCTTGACATTGAGAAACACCCAGGAGGAGGGAAAAATATCCGCACACAAATGACATAATGACCCAGGGTCATAACAACACACTGAGTATTCAGTCAGTGTGCATGTCTGAAAAGGAGAGAAGAGCACATTCACTCCAGTCAACCAGTTGTGGGAATCCCCCCTTCAGAGGGGAGTCTGGGGAATCCCTCAGTGTGCTGCAGTGTTCAGGCTCTACTGAGGAGCAGGTGTTGCCGAGAACTGTGAAAACAACACAACCCGTTCTCTGTCATAAAATTCTTAAGAGGCGATGTAAATTGGGAAGAGAAACTTGTGTTGCTGTGATAGAGGCCCAGTACAAGCGTATTGTCCTTTTCAAGACGTCATGGTTACAGCTGCTATAATGTGATTTAGTAAACTGACCTCAGGACTATTCATTTATTGTACTTTACTTTAGTATACCCATTTTTTTCGGATTTCTCTAGTTACTTGTACTGTACATAGTGTTTTATTTCTGCATTACACTTATTTGCAGCTATACAGTTACTGATTTCTTTGTATTTGAATATTATTTTACTAACAAAACATACATTTAGTTTTTTTTAAACAACATCAGTGAAATAATCCAATAATATAATACATAGTATATCTTACTTCTTCGCATAAGTAGCCGTTACTTTAACTTATAATAAACAACTTCAAATACAGTTTCCTTATATTTCACCAATTCTAAAATACACAAATATAATTTAAGTTGACTATTTGCCCACTCCGGTGTTTTACTTTAGTATGCAAATCAGAAATACTGTATGTGAGTACTTTTTCCAACACTGATATTTTTTTATTAAAGTTTAAAATACTTCTCTGGAAAATCACTACTCTGGATTCGCTGTGGATGCCTCTGCATTTACAGGAAATGGTCATCTAGGATAAAAAAAGAAATTCACGGAGGAAATCCCCTCTCTCAGCTCCACCCTCACAAACGGTCTAACCGTTTATAGTTAGGAGGGGAGGACAGAGCAGACACACTGTGACCGTGGAGAGAGACAACATGCTGGGAACTAAGATGCATCTACTGCTGCCGATACTGCTTCTGGGTTTCATTGTGAGTAAGATTAATGATATAGTTTATTATAAATATGAAAGATTTTGACGAGAGCTAACTGAATGTAGCTGCGGTTACACTGTATCGCCCAGTCATGTGATTGAAAGCTGTACTGTAGGCGAAATGTAGTTAGTCATAAGACTCGTCATAACTATCGTTTACTCAGAAGCACACTATAATATGATATTATGCCCTAATTGTTCATATTATTTCAATGTTTCACCATTTAGATACTGTTTAGACAGAATGGCGCACATCTTGTAAAATGTACTTTCACTTTCGTTTTCGTCGCTGCATTGGGCAGACGAGGTTTTGTTTGAGAAACACGTCTTTTTCTGAATCTTAATATGCAATTTTCTTTAATATTGATAGCAAAAACATGTTCATACATGAACAAAAGGGCATATGGCTGTCAGTGTCGGGGATACCAGCTTCTTGAATGCTTGGGACTTTCCACCCTTAACAGTATGGAGGAAGTTAACGTACAGTCAATGAAACCACACACTACAGAGGATACAAAGCATTAATAAACCTCTGAGTTATTGTATTTTACTTAATTCTATTTGTATTTGAGTTTCACATTACCATAATTCCTATGGATTGTTTATGTTGTTATGTTTTTACCCTGTTATTCGTGTTTGTTGATCTGTACAAACTGTAAAGCCCCCTGACAAACATGTGTTTTTTGTAATATTGGGCTTTATAAATAAATGTGATTTTATTTGTTTGAATCCCACCCATTTTGTTTTGCAGGTTATGAACTCTGCTCAGCAACAATGTGACCCACTGACCCAGTATGCGAATGAGATTGGTGATTGCTGCAAAATGTGTGGTCCAGGTATTGAAATCTTTATTATTCTTAATACTGTATTCATCCTCTACAGGGCAGTTAAAGCAAAGCAGGCGTACACAAACACGACATGTACATAACAAATGTCTACAAATTCAAATACGATAAAGTGTTGAAACAACATAGACAAACAAGTTTCCGCTGCTGACTTCCTCACGTGTTAATAAATAATCTAGGACGTGTTATTTCTATATTTGCAGTCACGTAGACACTCACTCACTCACGCAAAATTAACAATTGTGAGTCACTTGTATCTCAGTGTAAATGTTAAAAAACGTCCTCCAATGACTAAATGGGTTAAATGGACATTACATGTAACTAGGCTAGAAAAAAAGAAGTGAAAAAGTAGCACATGGTACGATAAAGGAGGCTGAGGTTATTTCTGCCATAAAGTTCACTGAAGCTTTTGGCACTTCCGCATTAGATTCACTTCTCTGCCCCAGAGATAGCAGCTTGTTCAAAACTGATACAAAAATAACGTTTATTTTTGCTTTCACTTAGCTTCCTTCTTATCCTCCTTGGGTGCTTTTTCTTTCACTATCCCCTCAGAAATGTTAAAGGAGAAGTTCAACTCTCTTCTTCAGTCTTCTCTACCCCTCTCTCTTTCTTTTTCTCTCTCATCTCAACCATTGTTCCCAAGTGGTTGCTGGGTTGGCTCAAGAGATCATTTCTGTATTTATTTAGTGCTATATAAATAACATTGTATGTCATTGCAAAGACTTGAGGAGAAGGTCGATACAATACTCATATCAGTAAAACTGAGAGCTGAGACAATAAGTTGACTATATTATTATTTTATTTTTTAAATGCAGGAATGGTAAAAACAAAAAAATACATTATCTGGCTCCAGCATCTCAAATGAGATGATGTGCTTATTTTCACGTGTTTAAATCATTGGGGAAATTGTGTATATATCTGGGTTTCAAACTTTTGATAAAACAATAACTTTAAGATTGGTCTTTAGGAAGTTGTAAAGGGGATTTTGTCATTAGGTTTTATCAGTTCCTTGACAAAATTGTCATGGGTTGCATTTAATAGACAGTAATAGGGGTGGATTCGCACTTTCATCTTATTCTCAGCAAACAAGCTGTAACACCTGTTACAGTATAACTAGAGCTTATTTCCTCCCACATAACTTTTCCTTTGAGCCACAGTTCCACATTAACCACATGCACTTGAGACACGTACTATAATACTGCATAGTTCTGCATGTTTCACTAAGAAGCGCCAATCTGTGTTTCAGGGTACAGAATGTCTTCCCCCAGCCCATGTCAGGATCCTCGATGTGAAGAATGTCGGGAAAATGAATATCAGGATAAATACACAAAGAATACCGCTTGTCGCCGTCAGCCCTATTGTGACCCAAGTAAGACCCTGTCAGAAATATTCAAAAAACAGTGACTATACATACTGATATACTTTAGTTTGATGGAGCACAATTTATAACGTGTCTTCATTTCTCTTTCAGATATAAACTTCCAGGTTATTGACCATGAGAGCAAGAAGGAGCGCACCACCTGCCTGTGTCAGGAGGGGTTTCACTGCTCCAGTGCTGAGTGCATCACCTGTGTGCCTCACACCACCTGTACACCTGGAGATGGGGCTCTATCCAGAGGTATGATGCACCATATTCATTTATATTGAATATATATATATCGTTTTGTACTAAATCCGTCACTTTCTGCTTTCAGGCGACCATACGCAGGACACAGTTTGTCAGAAATGCCCAGAAGGCACATTTTCCAATGACAGCTCTTGGGATGGTCCCTGTAAGCAATGGACAGAGTAAGTAAATTAACTCCAATTCCACTTTAAAAAATCTCCCAGCTTACACCTCCACTTGCTCATTCATATTTGGCTTTGTGTGTTAAGACATGCCTTTTGTTTCTTCAAGCTGATTCAGAGATAAGCATTAACAAGGAAGTTATTTTTCCTCTCTGCAGTTTTGTCTGGTTATTGGCTTCTTCAAATTAATATTTAATCTGAATATAGTTAGTTCACTATTATAGGAAATATTGGAAAGTACACTTGTTAATGAAACAAGTTATATCTCTCTAAATATGTCTGTTAAATGTGAATCTACAGAAAGTAGCAGGCCATAAAATAGACCAGGATGTAAATCTGTGTCATTATTGTTTCAACAAATGACATATAATAATATAGTAAGTAGTTTGTTTAAAAAAGGGGGATAAGTGGATTTTATTACTTTCAGAGAGAAACAGGATAGCTGTTTCCCCATATTTCCATCAGTTTTAATGCTAAGCTAACCAGCAGCTAGCCATACATTTACAGGCCATAATATGAGAGTGGCTTTTCTCTCTGTAACTCTTTGTAAGAACACACATTTCTCAAAATATCCTGCAAGTAGACACTCAATTTTGTTTACATACTACATTTGAACATTTCTGAGAAGATATCGTGGTTTTGTGGGGGATTTCCGTGATGAAGAATATTAAACACATTTGTAAACTGGGGTCATTATGTATTGAAATTTGCTGAAGATGCTGCTAGCACCTTTTATAAGTTGCTCTCACGATAGGAGTTCCCAATTCACTAAAGCTTTCAGTATGCTTGTGAAATATAGAAGTGAAAAAAGGGTACATTTGGACTAAATATCACACTTTCAGTCACAATGAGAAACCAGGAATGATCCTTTAACATTGTGACCTTCTTCACAGATGTGAGAGTGAAGACCATATTCAACAAAGCGGAACAGGCGTAACTGACAACATCTGTGGTGAGTTTTTGAGTAGGCTGATTAATTGTTAGGTTTCTCACCTTGAGCTCTCTTACCATCTGCAGCTGTGTGGTTAGCGGTGACTCGCTCAAAACGGCGCTATGTAGGCGACGAGATGTTAGATCTCATAAACCTGTGTTTGTCTGTGGTTTTATGTGTGGGATTTCACCTACACCATGGTTACACTACTTTGGTGTGAAGACGCCACTGTCATTTCATTGTTATAGAATTTAAAAAGTATGTATTGACTTCCTGAACATCTTCACAACTGCATGTGGGCTTCTTCTGATGAAATGCAAATATGTGATATACATGAAGGTAACCCATTTCCTGTTGTGGAGGAGATGTATTGACTGTATAAAAGACTATTTGTCTTCATAAATGCCCATATTTTTCTCAAATATCGAATTATCCAGTATTATATGCAATGATAAATTGTGAATTGTGTGTGAAAGGCCTGATATCTGGTTAATGGTTCTCTTGTTTTGTATTGCAGAGGCAAATCGGAAGCATCCCATTGTGATCGGTGTTGTTGTTGCTTTCGTGCTTCTTGCTGCACTTGGAGTTGCACTTTATATTTATAAAGGTACGTAAGGCACTTAGGCCTAGGCTCCACGGGAACGAAAACGGGTTGAATCCACATATTTCTCATGCGTATAGCCCTTTAAGCTAGACGACGCTGTAACGGAAACTTAGAAACAGACCCTGCAAACAACAACGGGTCCAAAGGTGGATAGATCTGGGAACGGAGCGCTCTGGGGGGTCCAACGGGGCCGTGTGGTCGCCTATACGGTCATCCGTTTCTGATAATGACGACGCAATAGCCCCGCCTCTCCCCGCCTCTGCTGCTCACCCCCGCAAAAGTACACTGCACACTGAATTCAGATTATTTATCTTTATCTCGATATGGACATAAACGCGAGTGAAGTCTAATCTGACAGGACGGAGACACGCAGCTCCTGCCGCTGTGATGCAGCGGGAGCAAAACACACACTTCAAGTCAGATCATCACCCTTAGCTATTTTAATTACCTCTCAAACTACCTAAACTAGTTATAAATATGTTTATTTTTACTGTCGGGTCACTCATTACAGGATCAGCTGCTGCATGAGACAGACACTGACGCTGTCAGAAGAGAGGAAAAAGAGAGGCTCCGTATATTTTATTATTATATATAGTTGTTATTCATTTGTTTTAAAGCTCAATAAATAACAAAGAAGACCTTTGACCGGCACTTTTATAATTTTGTCCGGAAGATTTAAACTTAAACACACGTTGACCGGCGAAAGACTCTGCCCGGATCCCTCGGCCCCCACCGCGGAGAATAAACAGAAGGGCAGCCATGACAACCATTCTTCTTCGCTGCTTTTGTGGAGGAAGTCGCTGCTTTTGTGGAGGAAGTTACAGCGCCACGTACAGGTTCGGCATATGTACTGCAGATTTTCCAGCGGTTGGATGTAAACGGAGCCGTCTCGTGGAGCTTGACACAATCCGGTGTATATTGCGTGTGGGCGGAAGGTTTTATGCGTTTGCGTTTGCGTTACTCCGATGCGTTTTGCCGTATGCGTTCCCGTGGAGCCGGGGCCTGAATGTTCTGTTGTTTAAGGAGTTCTCTGTAAGGCACTGAAGGTGCTCAAATCTCTCGTTTTGTCTCCCTTCTGTTAGGTCAACGAGGTGATGCAAGAGGAAAGGTAAAGGTAAATGTGAATTCTATCTTGCTAGTTACCGAAGAAACCAGAAATATTCTTATTGCACTCTCAAAAAGACAATTGACTGTTCAGTGTTGTCATTGTTCCCCAACATGTGTCTTGTTTTTGTATATCATGTCACTTCCACACTTTATTGTCTTTTGATTAGCTCCATTTAGGAGAAAGTTTGGCATCTTACAGTTTGCCTTCTTGAAGATGGTTGAATTGGAAGCTTAATACCACTTTAATATCTGTATGCTAAATATGAAGCTCCTCGTTGTGTTAGCTTAACAATAGTTTAGTTTAGCTTTGTTATGGTTATTATAACATCTTGGACAACAGTTGAAAATTAGCCTGCTGGCTAACACTGGCACATTTACAGCAATGTTGATCAATGTGCACTGTCCTTTAAATAAATAAACAAACAAACAAAAATACATAAAACACGGTGAACATGAACCTCACTTATTAACAATTTGTTTAATCTGAAAAAAGAAAATGCAAGTTGGGCTCTTTTTAACTTTAGACAGAGCCAGGCTATCTGTTTTACATCTTTATATTGAGCTAAGATGATTTACTACAGGGTGTCCGCGGGGTCTTAAAAAGTATTAAAAGTTGATAAATCAATTTAGCGAAAATGAAGGCTATTAAAAAGTATTAAACTGCATTTTCCAAGGTATTACATTTTGTAGCTTGTTTTCAATAAGTATATCAATTGTCCAAAGAGGTTGTATTCTACAGTCTGCCTGAATGTAATCATTGCGTAGGTGTGTAGTGTGATTCTGTGTAGTTTATTTATGGCATCCCGTTGGATTTGACGTCATCTGAACAGGACATCGCACGCTCACTGCTTGATAGCGCGCGAAGGTCCGTTTACGCCGGTTGTTAAACAACATCGTTATGGGGAAATGCAAGTTTGCGTCCAAATGGTTGGAAGATAAGGAGGAAGGACAATCAATACTGTATATAGTAAATGTGAGGTAAAGTGGGTCGCCAATGTAACCGGTTAGAACTCAAAGTAGCTATGAGGTCTTAAAATGTATGGAAAGGGTCTTAAAAGGTATTACATTTGACTTCAGGATTCCTGCATATACCCTGTACCAGCTTCATATTTTGCATACAGACATGAGTGGTATTATTCTTCTAATACAGCTCTCAAAAAGAAAGCTAATCAGTCCAAAGTAGTCAAACTATTATTTTAATTTAGGGTACACCGGGTACTGCAGAACAGATCTAGCTGGAAATGTACAGCTATTTTTTAATCAATTAACCTGAAAAAGTAAAACAGGTTTTCTATTCTTTTGAAATTGGAGTAATCTGATTATTAGGGATGATGTATACACACTGAGATATACAAACTGTTGATTGTTGATGTGTAATATCCTTAATTAAACAACATTTTACTCTTGTAGGGCTGTTTTCAATCGTGTTGGGGAGAAAAGAGGGAGCTGCTGAGCGAGACCAAAGTTGACATGACACAGCCGACTGCAGACGAAGAGCTGCTGTCCCACCCGGAGGAGGAGGGCGCTGGAGTACCCGAGGAAAACGAGGATCAACCGAGCGACGAGAATTTATCAGATGTCCTTTTCTCTGATAATGGAAACTTTGTGACTCAAGACATTGGGGTCTCGTCCAAACTCTCCCGACAGGAATCACAACCACACACATTGACAGGCGATCCGCCGCTCCTGAACTCAGATAATAGTTGATTATTTGAAGTTAGGATTGTTGAGCATTGTTGCCCCATTTGTACATAATTGAGGTGGGGGGCGTGTGGCGCAGTGGATAGAGCCTTGGTATGGGGATCAAATGGTCACAGGCTCAAACCCCACTGCAGTCAGCATGTCGTTGTGTCCCTGGGCAAGACACTTCACCCCAAATTGAGTATGTAAGTCGCTTTGGATAAAAGCGTCTAACATGTAATAATAATTCTATCCTCTTCTTAATATGTATATAGTTGCCTTTAGTGTTAGAAATAACTTGTAATGTGTTGAAATGATTACATTTTAGTGTCTAAATACTGTGTGGCACACTACAGTATTTTAATTAACAAAGTAGCCATTTTTTTAAGTTTTGTAGTCATTTCTCTGTGTTTATATTGTGATGTCATCCGCTTATTTGTAAATTCACAATTTTACATCTTTGTTTTGCTCAACTCATTATGGTAATAATTGTGCATTGAATCGGCAGCTTCATTTAAGCTTTTTACTTGCATTAAAAATGTGTAAAATGTTTGACACAATCAGAGTTTTACTTTTTGTACAGGTAAGTGTGTCTGGTCTGTCTTATGAATGGGGTCTTAAAAAAAATCCCACAATGCCTTGTGGTGATATAGCCTGTAGCCTATTCTATGTGCGACACCTTGAGCCCAATCCTTTTTGCCTAAATGTGTGTGAAGTTCGAAATAATGCTACATTAAAAGTACGCCGAATCATTTGCAAGCTGTTGTTGTAAGCACCGAATTCATTTATTTACGGTCAACTATTACCGGATTCCTTTGATACAGTATTCAACTTTAAAATGTACAGATTTTCGAGCAGGTTTTTTAGTTGTTTTCAGCGTCCATTATTTCTAACCGGATTTTGTGATGTTTATTCGTGATGGACTTGGGGAAAATGACATCCTCGGAAACTGTAAGTCACGCTGAAACTTAACATTTGTTTGTCCTCGTTTGACTTAATTATAACACTTTGGAAATATAGTTTACAAAGGCCTAGTGCGGTTGAATAAATGCTGCTGTAGTTACATCTGATGTCCTCAGGGTGGTGCTACAGCTTCACTTGATTAAAGTTGATCTCAAAGTGTGTTATTACCTTTATGACTTACCCCACTGCTCAACAGAGGTGGGAGAAGTACTCAGATCTGGTACGTAAGTAAAAGTAGGAGTGTAGGAATATTAAAGGTCTGCAGTAAAAAGGTTACTCAAGTAAAGTAGGAATGTATTGGCATCAAAATAAACCTAAAGTACTCAAAGTTAAAGTACTGATTATGCAAGTGGCCCATTTCCCAATAATATATTATATGTTTTGATAATAATTATTGATCATTAAAGTGTTATCAAAGCTGGTAAAGGTGCAGCTAGTTTTAAGGACTTTGTATACTGCAGGGTAGTTTGTGAATTTACTCCAGGTGGAACTAAAGTCTGATTATATTTCACATCATTAATCCAAATCTGCAAAGTAATTTAAGGTATTACATAAATGTAGTGGAGGAAAAGTACACGATGTTACCTCTGAATTGTAGTGGAGTAGAAGTACACAGTAGCATAACATGGACATACTCAAGTACTGTACAAGTACCTCAAAATGTTACTTAAGTACAGTACTATGTAAATGTACTTAGTTACTTTAAACCACTGCTCCTCAATGATATTTTAACTGAAGATGTAAATATAACGAGTAGAAAAGGGGTCATTAAACAGGCTAAAACTGTTAATATCACATATAAAGGGAAACGTTTCATCATTAGGCCTAACTCTTAACATGTTGAGCTTTCATTACATGATATTATATTATTCATCTGTTTCCTGGGAGAGAAGAGGCTCAAATGAGAGCTAATCTGTCCTCTGTGTGTTCCTGTTTGTAGGGATTTGCATGGAGAGGTGCAGCAGCGCTCCCAGGGGCTTTCTCATTATCCCCGGATTATTGGAGGTACAGCCCTTTGAATTTACATGAAACCCTGTGCGATTGATAGTGAAGAAGAATGCCTCTGCCAAAACTTTACAAAGACTTTAAAAGACCTGTGAACCTGCTGCTGCTGCTGCCTAATCTAAAATCAATTGTAGAATAACTGTGAATAAAATGGCTGAAATAAATACATCAAGTAGGGTAACACGATAATTTAAATAAAATGTGAGGTCTGAAAATGTGAGGTTCAAAGTGTAATGGCAGGGACTTAACCCTATTTGAGAAGATTAAAATACTTTGGTTTGATGTGCATATTAAGGCAAAAACTATTTCCGATTTACATAAATAATCCCAATCATTGTTATTTTAATTTTACATGCGAATTTAAATTGATCTTAAAGAAAATGCTACCTTCTGTGCGAAACCATTAACACAAATTACATGTAAAAAAATGTAGTTTCATATTTGATCATCACTGTTTATGTAAAAGAAGGAATGAAAGCTGCAAGGGAATTTTTCAATCATTGCAAAATCACCGGAAACACACGTCAGAATTTCACTAGAAGCTGAATTTTATTTAAGCAAAAATATTTCTTCATGAATAGACAAAGGACATTTAATTTACATGTTTGTTGTGGAAAAATACATCTACATTTATTTACAATAACATGTGTAATCTTTGGTCTCAGAGCAGATTTATTTCATTTCACTGCAAACTTCAGGAATAAGCGACCAAATCCCTGAGGTTTGAAAGTTTAAAGTGCAAAAGGAGGTGGAAAAATGTCTCTTAATGTGTGTCTAAATACTTTCTTAGACAACTTCATGAGTGTTGTAGCATGACGGAACAAACAGCCCGTTTCTTGAAGCCCACTCTGCCCACAGTTTTCCTGCCGGGTTGTAAAAACTGTCCAGGGGTTTCTTCACAGTCTCCGAGGTGGCGGTCTCAGCTAAAGACCAGATTTTGGGTTTCTGGCTGATTTCTTTACTCTCCAAAGCGGATATCGTGTGATCAGAGTCACTTTTCTCAACTTTCTTGACAAGTGCAAGTTCTCTCCTGTCTTCCTGCTCGCTGCTTGGCTCCAGACGCGCGTCCACAGAGGCCGGGCTCTCCAACTGCTTCTCCTCGGTGTCTGCAGGGTCGATCTGAGCCTCTTCCTCCTCCAGGTTCTGCATTGAACTATCCGCATCGTCGCTCTCTCCCTCCAGCTCATCATCCTCCTCCTCCTCGTCTGATTTCCCCTTATTACACGCCCAGCTCACCCGGTTCTCCTTCTTCAGGCGTCGCCGTGCGTTAGCGAACCAGGTGGAGACCTGCGTGAGGCTCATCTTGGTGATGATGGCGAGCATGATCTTCTCGCCTTTAGTGGGGTACGGGTTTTTCAAGTGCTCGTTCAGCCAGGCCTTCAGCGCCCCGGTGCTCTCTCTTGTTGCCACTTTGGCGACTCGACCGGGATCCTCGGCTGCTCCGGGGCGGTACGGAGAGTAGAAAGCCCCCCCACGAGCCAGGAGAGCGGGGTGGTATGGAGAAGCGGCCTTCAAGTCGAACCCGTTGTTCTGGAAAACAGAGAGAATGAACGTAAGGACGAGGAAAGGAGTCTTGATGCGTAATTACGCACGGATGTGGCGTCTATTGACTTTAATGAGTGACGTTTGACACCATAATATAGGGAATGCATGATCATGCGTTGAGAAAAAAAGTGTTTAAGTTCTAAAATTTCACAACAATAGAATCTTGAAGAAGCTTTTTCGGAAAAATGCTGGTTCAGCTTCTCCACATCAGATTTTACGCACGTTTTTGTTAAAACTAAGTTGTTATGACTACTTTATATATTTTTGAATGCTTTCTCAACTCACCATGTGTGTGATGTGCCTGTGGTGCGGGTAGGGGATGAAGTTGTATCCCGGTAGTCCTGAGTAAGTTAGAGGAATCCCAGCTGCCATGGCGGCCAGGTGCTGAGCCTGCTGCTGCTGCAGACCCAGGATCTGATATCCAGTCGGCATGCTGATGTTCCTCTCCAAGAAAAAGCTGCCAATTCCACTTTGCGATGCGGGCATCTTTCCTGCGTCCCTGCTATTTGAGTTTGAGTGGCAACTAGCCTCCTGGATCTATTTATATCAAGCCAGCTGCCAGCGTGTGTTTGCAGGGGGGAGGACGGGGGGAGGGAAGGGGGGAGGTCCCACTGGTAGTGACTGACAGCTCCGTTCAAAAGACCCACAGCTTTCACTGGCAACAAATCCCATCAAAGAAGCCCTCCGCTGTTCCTTTTAGCGTTTTCGCGGAGAGGCTAAACATGTGCTACTTATCGCACCACAGAGACTTTTTTAGAAGAAGTTTCAATTCAAATGCAAGCTTTACTAAGGAATAAAGAAGGGAAATTAACAACTAACTTCACGTAAAAACATCTTAAACATCTTATAGTTTTTTTTATAGAAAAGGTTTCACAGCCCACCGATAGTTAAAAGTTTAAATACTAAGCCAATCTTATGGGGACATGATGTTTTCCTATATTAAAATCCTTTTTATTCTGTTAATTACATTTGTATTTAGTTGTCGCAACACACCACTCACACCAGTTTGATGTCGTTTAAATGACAAATGTAACACTTTGGCATGTCTAGCACCAATTTGCAGAGCTAAGAAAATCACCTGAACTCAGTTAACAACATCCCGCCAGTCTGCTGCCTCTCACACTTCATCACCTACAGATCTGTAGTTATTGTGAATCAAATTAACCATCGCAATAACTATGAAGTATACGCGAATAAACACAAAAAAACAACCTTTTACGCACATTTGCGTAAAAGTGTCGCCAAACAAGTTTGTGGCAGTCTCCACAACTTCTCGAAGTTATTCCACTGAATAGTTAACACGATTAATGTAACCGTAACATCTACCATCAAGCCTGCAGCTATACCTTTTTATTTGTAAATGTCATTGAGTGAACCATAACAAGCTGCCCTTTACATGTCGGATGGTTTTGTTTTGAGTGCAGCGCAACGTTTCAATGGTCCTAATTAAAGCAGGTTAAGTGAAACAGGTGTTGACTAATGTATATGATAATTGTGAGATAACAGATGCTGATAGTGTGTGTGTGTGTGTGTGTGTGTGTGTGTGTGTGTGTGTGTGTGTGTGTGTGTGTGTGTGTGTGTGTGTGTGTGTGTGTGTGTGTGTGTGTGTGTGTGTGTGTGTGTGTGTGTGTGTGTCAGAGAGATAAGAGGAGAAGATTACACTTCTTATTCCCCCCCCTCCCCTTCAAAGAGCCTATAAGCTCAGTGTTTGGGTTCAAGGGACTCACCTCTCTTATCTTGCATAATTGTGATTATTATATTAACAGTTTCAGGAGGTGTAGAGCTGGGGGGGCTTTTAAGTGACAACAGAGAAGCATCTAAACATGCAGTAGTGATACCTAAACATACTTTACACATATTCCATTTGAAATCTTTGTGTTTTAAATACTTATGTTGCAGTTTAGCTTGTACCTTCTATGGAAGTCCCCAATCATATTCTTTAAATGCAGTGGGCTGTAACTCTCCATATGGCTGTTCTTATTTACTATAACTACTTTCGATTAGCCTCAATAAGTTGCTTTATTTCTATTATATTTGATCATTTTGAAAGCTAAACAGAATCATTACACATGCTTTTCATAACTCGTCTCGCATAACTTGCTACTCATTTTAAGAAATGTATCGGCCCTCAGTGTCAACCGTAACACATGCTTTGAGCACCAGGAAAGCGCTATATAAATGACATGTATTATTATTTGTATTATTATGTATAAGTAAATTGCATTCTTACAAACTCAAAACTATTT